CTACTATTAATTGATGCAACAAGGTTGACTTTTGCTTAACACGCATAAATTCATTGTATGTCAATCACCGAGAAGTATCTCTTTCATATTAGCTTCTCCAAGTGCCACATGGCTGGTGAACATGTCATTGACATGTTGGAGAGTCGAAATGAAAATGTAATTGTAAAGAGCCCTGAAGTGAGCAGACCAAAGAAAGGTCTTGTGGGTTCTTATGCGCTTCGAATTTTGTAGGACCGCGTACGTTTTCTCAATACTGGTCCATCACAAATCCCTGGTGTTATAGTGATGAGCATTGAAGATGGCCATGAAGGTGTCCCGGGATTGACTCAGCTAGACCCCATGTCAGTGAAAGTAAAATATCCATATTGCTTCTTCATAGATAAATGCTCGATCTCATAGGAATTTTTTCGTAACAGCTATTCATACATTGCGCTTGTTATCAATGCATGCCCGTCTGAGGTTTCATTTGCTAGCCTGGCATTGCAAGCAAAAGCCCTTCAACTACATCCTGTGCAGGTAGAAAGTTGGACTTGAAGTTTCTTTGAATCTCCATGATAGAGTTGCCCCCTTGAATTCTATAGTTTATCTTTTGGCCTGTCGAATTTGGAAAGCCATGATTTTGACATCTAATAAGTGTGCTTTTGTGACTTTTCTTTGATGAAATAGCTAATTCCCGTTAGACTCATGGCTTCAATATGTGCGACACAGGTTATGTCCACTGATGAGATTGTGAAGAGCTCGAGTTTTGAGGCATCCTCGGGGTGCTTTACCATTCCTGCAAGGACCACATCTGTGTTCGTCGAGCCAAGAAATATTTGACCTTTTAAGTGCGGCCGATGAGGCACCTGATGTTTCACTTCAAGATGAGTTGGTTAGTTTGTGAAAACTTTCACAGGCCAGAGCTTGCGAGACATACTTTACTCTCTCTTCAGCTAATTTAAATCGAAGCAAAAGGAATATACCCTTAAAAGCTATTGTAATGAAGATGACAACAAAAGCGGCCCAGGGAACTCCTTTTCGTGGTCCTCGGCGACTGAATAGATACCGAGTAGTATGCGACTTGTGTCAGCCATAATAATTTCTTGTCTAGAGGGGGGAAAGTCGAATAAAGAACTATTACAGTGCTATTGATGTCGTTAATAACAGCATTCTTTTTTAATAATGTTTCAGTTAAATCTATCTGTACTCTCCCAATTTTTCTAAGGTTCTTTTGCTTAAGCTGTTGGGCGGCTGATGATGTTGCACAAGTTGCTCGTGGAAGCTAAGTGAAAGAGACTTTCCTGATTAAACGAGTGGCTTGAAGCTAAAATCGGTGGGGTTGGCATCAAGTCCTTATCCTGAAAGCAAGCTCTATGTTTACATAGTTCAATATAAAATCTACTTGCATTGCAGTAATCAACCTAGCAAGGACTAACTGTTGTTATTGGTGGACATTTTACCAGTCTCTTTCAGGTTTTTCCTGAATTCGTGCCGTGATCGACTGATACGCTGGATAAACTTTCAAACATTAGTTTAAATTCCCCACGGCGTTTTGATCAAAGATTCGAAATGCCTTGTTGCTACCATCAAGTAAGAGAATGCCCTATTACGGTTCCAAAGCAACTCCTCACAGAAATCTTCATGGGTACAGGGATCATTATGATAGGCACAGCGGCGGATGAAAAACCTTCGAGTGAGGGGAGGGGATGCTCAAATATATTGTGAAAATGTTAGAACTTAGGATTGGATGACAGAGTTCATAGATCATTCGCAGTGACAACCGGTGATTCTGGCAGACTCCACATAATAATGGGTAGCAATTAATCCAATCTTTGCGAACCTCTAGATCTAGATAGATCTAACCTCATTCAAGAACGTATATGACAAATTAAATTCAAGAAGATATACGATCTCATCGCTTACCTAATGACATTGGTATAACAGGAGGAGTCTACACGTCTGCAGAAAAAAAGATATCGATGTGCTTGTCCAAGAGGGAAAAGGAGTAAAATACAGGATATCCCTGGCGACGGCTTCTTGTACTAATAATAAGCTGTCGCTGTAAGCTTGGGACTGCAAGGCGCTCAAGTCAACTCTATACAGGATTATGGGGTTGCTTTGCTTGGCACTTTAACATTCATGAATATGGAAAATTCTTTAAAAGACATTAAGAGCACTCACTGGCCACTCCCACCCACTTCACTCTCTATGCATTCTACAACTCATTTATTTTAGTGCAAGGAATCTAGAGAAATAATTGAAGTTTTGCTTCCACCTCCTACTTAATCTTGCTTATTCCGGGAAGGTCCAGCATAATTGGCAACAAGTTGTCATTGAATTGCTCAGCTGGAGTTCCAAATACAACCTCTGTATAGAAAAATTGCGATTTCAAAATGGAAATGATATAGTTACAAAGATGTAATGAATGGATCCCCATCTGCTTGTTGCAGTTGCAGGTTCTGTATCCACATTGAAGCTTGCCTTTTTATTTTCCCTTCCTTTTCTATTATGTTATTATGCGGGAGGATGGTGCTTGATCAAGCTAACTGACGATTTGAAAGATTGTGACCCTTGAATTGAAACGTGTTAAGCTAGTTAAGATGTCATCCAATATCTCATCAGTAGGGCCATAAATATGCAGCTCACCTTTTTATTGACCCATGGATTCACCTCAACTTAAAATGCTTGCTTTGTCTAGCCCCATAATCAAGTTTAATTAGCTTGGTTGTCACACTGAGATCATAAGCATGCATCCTCAACCAAATCAAGCCGAACATCCAATCTGCGATCAATTTCTGTACTTAAAAGAATCTAATGAAATCGACCAACTATGATGGGGCACACAACGAATACGTGGTTACACACGATTTTTGCACACTTTGATTGGCCGGGAAGAACTAATGGTGATCGTAATTTCTTGTTCACTTTCCTTTTATTTGCTGCTGTGCAGTTACTTGTGGACTGAGACAAAGGAAGGTGTTGCAGTTGACTAGGATTAGGTCATAGAATACCATTTCATCAATTCTCTTACACGGTGTCATATTTGGGGGAGTTATTAAACTAAAGGCCTTGCGGTTGCTTAGTTGCAACCAACATGCTTGTATTTGAGTGGCTCAGAAGCTTATTCTCTCTCTCTCTCTCTCTCTCTCTCTCTCTCTCTCTCTCTCTCTCTCTCTCTCTCTCTCTCTCTCTCTCCATGGATGACTTGTGAAGCAGAAAATAGAATAAGAAAGACATAAAATAATGGAAGAGTCGGTTCCATGTGCATTCGGTGGATATATTCTCGCTTATTGTCTTGGGTGCGCATGTCAACGGTTTCTTCCCATTTTTGGCCATCAAACTCTCACAATTCATCACGCGAGGATCTGATAGAAACATATGGTTTCTCACTTTATCATTTTACCTATGTTTATTAACGTGATTAGCACAATAATAAACCGCGGGTTTTTTCTTAATGTCAATTTCACATAATATGGAAGTAGAAAACTGCCCAACAAGCTTATTTGGAGGTGGCTACATAGCCCCACGTTGATAAGAAAAACCCAGGAAAATTATTTAATTTTTGTCCATGTATATATACATATATAGTCAGATTAGTGGAGGAATAGTAGAAAAATTCATGATAAATTGGTATTCTTTGCTTCAGCAGAGAACCCACTTCTTGGAGTGGCTTTGGCCACTTCAGATTACGTGCTTCACACATTCCACGACTCAATCAATAATTAAATGAAAAGACGTAATTGTTCACGCCAAGGAAGGAAGTCCCACCTTAACCGATCATGCATGCATCACGCCAAACCCCTAATGAGGCTGAAACTCGAACTTACAATGTCCATCGCACGTTTATCTTCAAATTTAGGTATAATTTTTCTATATCATTGAATAACTATCCTCCCATCATAAAGAAAGATAATTTGATTGCGCTCACACCATTGGATTGTAGATCGAGTGGTCGGATTACCCGATCATACGGCAACGGTAATTTGTGGATGATAAATCCATCAATCTGTGCAAGATCATGTACACCCGTGATTAACGCTACGGCATCGTGTATCCCATCACGACATGGCGGATTCGTTCAAGAATAGAATGATGGAATTCGGTCGACCACGCGTAATATCTCGACTCCTTACTGGAACAGCACCAACCATGCACTTTGTATAGTTTCCCTCAAAAAGAATGTGTCGACAAAGCCGCTTCATATCAAGTCAACATCAATGATTGCCTGATTTTAGTAACGTGGGAGTGGTACACGAGAACGAATTCTTAGTGTGGTTGGTGTAGAGAAGTGAAAAAAAGTAGCGAAGAAAGTTAAGATGTGCACATTCTTGTCCACCCCCTTTTTATGCCAGCTTAAAACTATTCACATTAAAATCTAATATCTCGAATTCGATTTCTTGTGCTTTTTTCTTGTTCCTTAGTAAGCAAAATGGGAACGTCATGACGGGCTACCGACCCGATGATATCTTCAGCGCAACATGACTTGAAAGAGTTAAGTCCACAGAAGAATTAGATAATGTTATAGGACTACCAAAACCGAGATGTGTGTCTGAAAATGCTAAAATTGGGTGGCCAAACCATGCATATGCATCTTCGTTTGGGAGGGGTGCACTGCACAAAGTTTAGGTGATGTGGGTGGAGTTGCAAGCTCATATCGATGGTTGCACGAAGGAAGCTTTAGGTGGGGGTTGTTTTTTTACCCTTTTGTGAAGGTGAGTGAGTTGGCAAAGTGTGAGAAAGAGAGTGTCAAGCGGGACAACACATGAATTTGCATTAACAAACCCTCCTCGCTCACAGATTATATCCCACCAGTTCTTCAATGATAGCGCACCACCCATCTCCTAATTTTGCATCTTTTCTGTTTCGATTTATGGTGGTTTTTTATGGGTCTCTCTCTCTCTCTCTCTCTCTCTCTCTCTCTCTCTCTCTCTCTCTCTCTCTCTCTAGCTATTTTGTGGGGTGTGGGGGTGTTGGGGGGAGTGTCGATGTCCAAGTATAGAAATCGGTAGTGTATAAAATAGGACTTCAAAGGGTGTTGGAAACTCAAGAAAAGATTGGGCGGACTAATTCACACAGTTTACTGTTCCATTGTTGGTGTCATCACATCCCAACATGACTCCAAACATAGCTTAAGACTTCCCTTCCCTCTCCTTAAGACTTTCTCTCTCTCTCTCTCTCTCTCTCTCTCTCTCTCTCTCTCTCTCTCTCTCTCTCTCTCTCTCTAGTGGAAGAAGCATACCATGGAAGCCTCAGGAGAAGCAGCCCTTGGAGGTCCCAAAGAGCACACCCAGATCATCATCAAGGGCAAGCGCACGAAGCGGCAGAGGCCGCTGTCGCCGATCCTTTTCATGAACACCGGCTCGCCGGTGAGTTCCGAAGGAGGCAATTGCGACGACAACAGCGAGAGCGACAAGGCCGCCGACCTCTCTCCCTCCACTTCTGCCAAATTCCACAACGGCTGCACTGAGGAAGAGGAGGACATGGCCAATTGCCTGATCCTCCTAGCTCAAGGCCAATCCAAAGAGCCCCCAAGAAGGGTTATTATTCAAGAAGACCACAACCATACCAATAGATTCAGCAGCAAGAGGTACTTGGAGGGCTCTTGTGTCTATGAGTGCAAGACTTGCAACAAGACCTTCCCTTCCTTCCAAGCCCTAGGCGGTCATCGGGCAAGCCACAAGAAGCTGAAGTTGGCAACAACCACGGCCGAAGAGAAGCCACCGCTGTATAAACAATTCGTGTTCTTGCCGTCCTCACCGGACGAAGAAGAAGGAGAATACAAGAAAGTTTCGACTTTCTCTCTCGGGAGTTTTAACATTTATGGGAGCAATGGTAATTGCAAGAAGCAGGCGAAGATCCATGAGTGCTCCATCTGTGGTGCCGAGTTCACATCAGGCCAGGCCTTGGGAGGCCACATGAGGCGACACCGCCCGCCGGTCGTTGTCGGGGCAAAGCTAGAATCCGACGACGAGTCCACGCGGCTGAGCGCTAATGGGCTCTTGTCCCTTGATTTGGATCTCAACCTCCCAGCCCCGGAAGAAGAGAACCGCGATCACTTGTTTCTCTTGAGCTCCAAACAACAGCATCATCATCAGAAGCAATCTCATCCTCCTATCTTTGTCTCGGCCCCGGCAATCGTGGATTGCCATTACTGAGCAAGAATTAATTTAAGGTGATGGGTTAAGTCAATCGCAGTTTACAAATTAGAAGCCATGCGTGCGGGTCCATGTTAATTTTCCCATGGACTTTAGTGCATCTAAAGTTGATTTATCCAAATTTCCTGTCATCAATTGTGGGGATGTTACATGTTAGATTTAAGAAATTACAGAGATATTCAGTTGATTCTTTGGTTACATGTGTATCTTGATTTGGGCTGTTGCACGGACGTCAGTTTCTTTTGTCCAAAAGCAAAATTTGCGGGTCATTCATGGAAAGAGCATGATGGCACAGAACCAGGTTTTCTCTTCTTCTTCTTTTTCCCCTTCTTACTTCTTTGTGATCAAGTTTTGTTGTTTCCAGTAGGTAACAAGAATGTGAATGTCCAGATGAGAGAGAGAGAGAGAGAGAGAGAGAGAGAGAGAGAGACTTGTTTGGGGTTGTCACAGGCACCAACCAAAAGTGGTGGCTTAGGTTTCATTGTTTAGAAAGCAAGAAAAGCCTCTCTCTCTCTCTCTCTCTCCAAGAATAGAATATGTGTGCGTTTTTCAGGAAGGACACTGAACAATGCTCTTCCCTGTATCCACCTCTTGTCCTTTTCCTCTTATAACAAGCAAGCGCACGAAAGGTTTCTGTTTTTCTTTGTGGGGCTATTTTATTTTCGTACCTTTATTTCCGTCTTCATTTTGCACGATTCCCCCGCTTGTTTTCCTCATCTGGCCTAGCCCGGCCTGCAAGGAATGCACCAGATATATTTTTTTTTATAACAAGAAAGCAAAACTCGAATCCGTGAAACACGCGCCAACCTCACGAGATCAGGGAATTATCAAGCCAAATATGGTTCAAAACCTCCGAAGCCTGTCGACCTCAAATTGATTACCCTAAAAAGAAAAAGAAAGAAAGATCGAAAGAGAAGCGCGGATACCCATTTTCACATGCTGCTGTGAGCTATGAGCCTGAAGCAGTAAAGAGATATTGGTCGCTGATAGTTTTCTGTGTGGTGCAGATAGCATTGGTTAGGCGACAGTATCTATTAGGGACAACTAGAGGGTTTCAATGAGGACAAAAATAAGGCACCTAATCTTTTTTTTCTCGGGGCATTGTTTAAGTGGCATGAGCTGTTATTGAAGGGAGGTGGGTGCGCGTCTCACTCAACTGCATAAGATTAGAGGGAGAGAGAGATTTGTGAGACCTGTAAGTGGGTACAGATTAAGTTGAGCAGTTATGCTGCTAATCAGGGGATGTCCTCTCTTCTCATTTAGCTAGAGGAAGGTTCTTTCTTTGTGAGGTCACCATTGAATATGGCCAAGGTTGCAAGGTAAGGGGGATCGGGTTTAGCGACTAAGGAACGGACTTGTGTGCGTGAATTATTAGCATGGCATGGCCACTGAATGGAGACGGTTTCATGTTGAGAGCAATTAGTATATCCTAGTTGGCTTATAACTTATTGGCTTAAGCTTTTAAGTAAATGTGTGTCCAATTGGATATGTTGACAAGCTCGGACTTAGGCTCTCCTTTAGCGATATCCCTTGGCGAAAGGTATTGGGCTTTTGCTATGTGTTCTTAACAAATGGTATCAGAGCCAATTATAGATTGGTGAGCTCCCATCTATTTCGATGTTTGGTGAATATTTTAAGAAATGAATCTAGTGACCAACTCGATTTTCGCGTGTGGGTGTAGCAAGGGCCCAATGGGCATTGATGGAGAATCAAGTTGAGATATCTTGATGCACAACAGGATATTTGGATCAGGAGGGAACAAACCCAACAATAATAGTGCGGAGTTATTATATCCTAGTTGACTCATAACTCATTGGTTTAAGCTTTTGAGTGAAGGTAGGTCCAACTATGTATGTTGACGGGCTCGAACTTGGGCTCTCCCTTGGCGGGGCTTTCTCTAGGCGAAAGGTATTAGGTTTCTGATGTGCACTTTCAACAAAGAGTTGATAATTACATAGAGGACAAAGTAACTCAAATAATTTTGATAATTTAATTTGGCGACTTCAGTAAAAGTTGATAAATTACTAAAAAAAAATTAGTAATTCGGAAGCGATTAAACAAATGTTGATAGGTGATTCAAATAAGAGCAGGAAACAAACTACTTGGTAACTTACTCAAATTAAGGTTTATAATTTCGTATAAAAGTTGGCAACTTCGATGTTTTTTTAAGTTTGACAAATAAACAATGACAATTTATTGAAATTGTTGATACTTTGTGGAAGATCAAATAAATGTTGGTAACACAATAACAAAATTGCGAATTTAGTGATTGTCACCGGACAAACAATTTACCAACCACAATTTTGCGATCACAGTATTTGAAAATCATACCGACCTGTATATACAGTTACCAATACATAAAAAAATTTCATTTTTCGACACACGGAATGCTTAAATTCTGCTAAGAATAGCGAAAACTTCAAACTAAATTCATTCTTTGGGAAAAAAAATTCTGATTTTTTATTCATCAACTATCAGTTTATCTGCTGTCTAGCAAGATAGTCACCTGGACTATCACTAAGAATGAAAGGTGTAATAATGGCGGTAGAACCACCCCCTTACAAATCCGTCGTCGTCTTACTCTTATTACAAGATCATACAGGAACCAAATACGCTGCAACATCGAATCATGAAAAACCATTATCTGTTGCGTGGTCTGTTCTGCTAAAATCCATTGATATGATCATCACCATAATGACCATGGTGCAGGTGCTGGTGAACCAATAGGAGCACCAGATTCGCCAAATATTCCTGCAATGGAAAATTTACAAATCTCATTCGAAGCAAATCATCGACCTCCCAAAATTAGACAATCAGAGCTAACTTGTGCTGAAATCAAAAGGGGAAAAGAAAATTTCAAGAAATGTTTTGTACTGACCGCAAAGGAGGAGGTTATCTGGTGGCGGCTGCTCCTTGGCGGGGTTCGGGTCGGGGTCGTGGACCCGGATATAGAGTTCTTCACCCAAGTACCAGTTCCTGAGTTGCTGCGATCGGAGGTTCCACATTCCGGGGTTGTCAAGGAAGGCGTACACTGCAGTCCACCCTCCTGCGTACACTTGCGTGGTTGACCGAACCACGGGATCGTACAGGTTGTAGCCGGCACGTGCGCCTTCATCCCAGTCTCCGAGACCGAACCTAAAACATTTCACAAGCTTTCTTCCATAAGCTTCATTTGATAGCATAAGACTCCGCCTAGCTACTTAAAATGTTCTGATGATGCACATTCAATTGTTGATGCTACTATAGTACTCACCCAACAACATAGAAACCGAAACCGTCAAGATGCCAAGAATCCATGACATCCAAATTGTTCTTGAACACGATCTCTAACCACCCTTTGTGGATCCCTGACACGACTGAGACTCCGTATGCAGCGTCCTTGTTGACCGATCTAGTTGGGTACTCATCTAGCTGATAAATTCCCGATCCGTTGCGGAAGTAGTCCGCGAGCTTTAGAGGGGTATTGAGGGTGTAGTACGATATGTTGTTGACAACATAGCGAGCTGAACCTTGGATCTCTGCAACGGAGTTCTGCAGAACAAAGGTCTGTGCCAAGCTCACATTCGACACATTGAAAGTCCCTTGTGGGTTCGGCCTGGCAGCTCCAGTGGTCAAGTTCCACCTATATACGTTCATCAAGGAATTAGTTCTGGTGAGATACTGAGAGAAAATGAACGTTTCATGTCTAACAATGCAAATCTAAGGACGTTCTACCTGAAGATCAAACAAATTGATGAAAATTTTTGGAAGAGAAGCTTGTCAAATGATCATGATTAGTAACAAAACTGGCGTTGAATTAACTGTGGGATCAGTTTACCTTATAGATCTAGCCTGAATCACGGTGAAATTCCAATCAAACGGATCGGGCCCGGCCGGCAAAGGCCCACCGACTTGGGTGAGAGAATTGGAGTAGTGTAGCACCCCAATGCCCACAAGGCTGCTTGAATCAGTGACACTGAACATTTTAGGAGTCGCCACCATGTAGTAATCCGCTTCGTCTTGATCAGCCGTTACGAGGACCGAGTAAGATTGTCCGACATGCACATCAAGGGAATCCACCGTGATTTGGTTAGTGTAGGACCCTTCCGTCTCCACTATCACCATGGAGTGATTCTGGATTCTAAAGTTCAAACTAAATGTATTGCCAACGTTCGATAAACGGAACCTGTAAGTCTTTCCTGTAGCCATAACGAACAGAATGAACATTTTCAGATACAGCACTCACACTTAAGAGGACTAACTGGATTTTTCATTGTAAAACACCCAAATACGGTAATGGTGTATTCTTTTAGGATCATACCTTTGGTGACATTAAAGGACTCATATGAGATCGATAAGGGGTGACCGTAAGGCCCCTTTCCATTCATAAGTATGGTATCGGGGACTGCTTGATATGCCACCACGGGGTCGTTCATTGCCGATCGGATTAACTGCCAGAATGAATAAACCCATAAATTAGATGTCGCATTCACATGTTAGACGGAATTCATAGGGTGATGCCAGAAAAAGTCCAAGAACTGCTCTATCAAAAAGAATTGGAATGACAAAAAAAAACGCATTACCTTGTAGCTGTCATAATACCAGTCTCCAATGAGAAGGTCGTACTCCGTCTCGGGTTTGGGGAAGGGCACATTGACGACCACACGGTTGTTGACGCGGATCGCTCCATAACCTCCCGCCGCTTTCTGGAAGTTGATGGAGGGGAAATAGAAGAAAGTGCCAATCTGATCCTTGGTCTGGAACACATAAGTCCAGTTTGTGCCAGGCAGTATAGGGCAGTTGGTGCCCGAAACCCCGTCCTGCCACGAGTTGAGCCTCTGTTGTATGCCGTTCCTGCAACCAACATTACCGGTTTTTCATCTTTAGTCCCGGATATGTAGTTGAAACTCAGCTAATGTCCCTAGAAAAGGATCGAGCAGGGCATTCTATGTATAACTCGTGCTCGTACCATGTGAAAAGCAGAGGTTCATCCAAGTCATTGTAAACGTTGACGTTGACGAAATCATTGGTGGTCGCATTTATCAACGGGCCAGGGAACATCCCGTTGATGGTAATGACCTGTCCATAAATATGTGAAACATTCATCTTTACATTCTTGAACCACGAAGTGAGACATTTACTAATGAAACGTGAATAGTGGAAATTGCAATGAATCCCACGTCCAAGCCAACAAAATAGCACAGTTTAACTCTGATTTTTTTGAGCTTTTATGCAGATACAATCCAGTCTTACGTCTATAAGCATCCGATAAATGTCTAGACTGAACATACATTGAAAAGCACTGAAATTGGAGCGATACAGATTGTTGACGGGGGATATGTATGTTTCAATGCGATTTAGCCGGAGGATAAGAGGTTTTGTTGTAATATATGTCATGCAATGAAACAGTAGTGGCCAAGCGGTTTCCATACCGGTTGATCAAGAGTAAGCGGCTCGGCTGTCGTGTCGAAGGCCACGTGCCATTCCAGAAAGATGTCGATGGCGCCGGCTCCGGTGCACAGAACTGCCACCAATGCCGCGCCCAAGATCCACCACCTAGGTTGGCCGGAAAAAGCCATTGCAGGGGCGGGACGCAACTCCCACCTGGGTTATCTTCCGTGACTTCAACAAAGATGAAAAAAGGGTATAGCTTGTTTCCGGAACACAAACTCCCACGCGGGTATATACACAGCTTGACTGTTCTTTCCCTTGTCTTTGAAGTGTGAAACCGAGAGATGGTGGAGCTTACTAAGATCAGGGAAAGAAACAGAAGAAGAAAGACAGGTGAGGGTTGTGAATGTGCTAATATTGACAATTGGAGTTGAGACGCGAAGGTTCATAGAATTCTGGCCGGCATGAGCATCGTTTGTGATCTTTGTTTTTCACAACCTTCAAGAAATAGTTTAGATGCATGCAAAGCTGTTCTCTATCTCTCTCTTGTATGGGGCTATTATCATTGTGTTACACAACTAGTTGACTAGGTTATAGTTCATCTCTTCATGTCATCGATGAACGCAATGCAGATTGTGAATTCACAAATAAAGAGGGGATAATTACACAAATGTTTCCTGAACTTTGACCTGATATGCAATATCGTTCCTGAACTTTAGCCAATGTGTAATATCGTCCATGAATTTTTAATTTGTTCAATGTGATCCATGAACTATATGAAAATGTTCAATATTAATATATTTGGTTAAAGTTTAGGAATTATATTAAATAAATTAAAAGTATAGAAACGACGTTACACGTATGGCCAAAATTCAAGGACAATTTTTGACATTTTTTCAATAAAGCATGATTGTCATTTTGTGTCTACGAAGATTTGGTCAACCTAACCGTGCAGCAATAGTAGCCATAGCAGCATGCATAGCATTCACCTAAGATTACAGTCTATTTTCCTATACTAATAGAGCTGTAACTTAGATTAACGTTTGTCGTAGTACTATTTGAGTATTACTTTAATGAAGACGAGAAACAATCATAGAATCATGGCATTTGGCTGATAGCATCACGATTGGAGAAGAGGATGAGGAAGATCATAGGTCCCATTTGAGATATGGGCACGAAATTTCTTGAACCGGTCCGTCTTTTTTTACCTGTGTTCTTTCAAACTCACATCTTATACAAAAAGCTGCAATTCACAAGCGTAATGCACAGTTTTAAGTAGCTAAACCTTTCGACCAATAAATAAAGTTGTTAAACCTCTAATCGACCAGAACTAATTTGTCTATACATCATATCTACAGACTACAGTTATGGTCAACAACCTCCGTAACCAAAACCTGCAAATCCTCTGCAAAGAACTTGCAAAAGTACTATCCGTATAAAACATGTGGAAAACCACAGCCAATGCAAACAATGTCGGAACATGACGTGGACAAAATTTAGTCAATGTGGACACTCACGTAGATGTCCACATAGAAAAAATTTTATTCATGTCACACTACAATGTCGTTTTGTCGGCCACGCCAATCGGATGTGGCCTGATTTGATTTACGAAATACTTGATTACAAAGTTTGTGAAACTAGATAGACCTGATTAGACAATTATAAGTAGATGGTTATGAAAAGTAGAACTTTTTCTATTTACAAAACTCAAATCAGCGGTTTACAATATTAAACTATAGCGCACGGATGGAATCCCCGACTCAACAATATACCTATACCTATACCACCAGATTTACAATGTACTAAGAATCTTTCTTTTTGTCAATTTTCAACAGTAAATCTTCTTTTATGACAAAAAAAAAACAGTAAATCTTCTTTCAAACATGTGTATACCGACTCTGTAAGTCAATATCACCTATTTGTTTTTGTATGTCAAACAATTCTATCTAGGAACAGCAACTGCTTTGGCGAGGCGGTTGATCCAGTACTTTCTGTTTCAAGATTTGCTTCTTCACTGCCACAGATCCTTTCTCTAGTATACTAGGCACCTCCATCATCTGTGTTTATTGATGTTAACAAATATCAGAATATATGCGCCAGTGGAACACATTAATCGACCCGAACTCGATCATTGTCAATACACAATTTAAGTAGGGCATTTTCTTTTGGTTGAAGAAGTACATCACAATATGAATGTGGGAAATTCACTAGTGCAATTTTGGCAAGGCTAACCTTCTGTATAAGCTCCTTGAAGCATTGATTGACGTTCTCTCTAGTTTTTGCGCTACATTCAAGAAACGAACATCTATGTTTTTGAGCTAGATCTCTTCCTTCTTCCCTAGTTACAGCCCTTTCACTCTCCTGAGATTATCACATCATCAGAAGCGAGGTGACTTCTCTTCTTTCGAAGAGAGATATTACGTCTGTGAGAGCCAAAGACATAACCGAGGGAATCAGCTTACCTTATCAACCTTATTCCCGACTAAGATTCTGATACAGTCCTGATTTGTAGGGTAAAGATCCACTTCTTTTGCCCATATGTCTGACAAATTTTTAAAAGTCTCTCGCCGCGTCACGTCATAAACTAGATCAGATTACATGAAAGCGTATATTAGGCTTTAAAATCAGCAGAACAAATACAGCCATAAGCATATGAAATTGTGATAAAGAATGCTAACTACTTATCCTCTCATTTGAATGTTCTACTATAGTCTTTATGCCTCACATCACATTCCACTTAGCAAGTATACCCATTTAGTCTAGGAAATTAACAAGTAGAGAATATAAATTTCTAACTAAGATTAAACAGAGTGGCACCACAAAATACAGAGCTCCACAACTTTAAAGGACATAATGGCTCACCCAATATAATTCCGTGCGCCCCTCTATAATACGAGCTCGTCAATGTCCCAAACCTCTCTTGTCCAGCTGCACCAGATAATGATTGTTAATAACTGAAACTGCTACCAACTCACATAATGACAATAACAGGGAAGGCATGTTTGTTTATGTTGAATTCCAAATCCAACCATCACACAGCAAGAGTTTATATTGAGCACAATCAGCCAAAACGCACCTCTTTGTGTAAGATTGGAGAATTTTATCAATGACCCATAGGCAGAGTAAATGACCATAAAGATGAACGCATATTCACAAAATACGAGGATTTTGTTTAGTCCAACTTGAAAACCTCAGACTTTCCAACAAGCATGCTCGATTTTACTTTTAACAACCAATAAAAAAATGGTGCGGATAGTTATGCCTAGTTTGACTGGTGCATCTCAATTTCTCAAGTAAGAAGGATAGGGAAGGTTCACACAGAAAAAAGACTGATGCTAAAAATAGAATCAAGAAAGATTAAAAACTGTAACTGAACAGAACACCAGTCAAAAAAGAGATAAGGTGTTGGCAGTACCAGTATCCCAAATTGTAAGCTTCAATCTCTTGCCTCCAACTGTCAAAAGCTTGATCTTAAAGTCCACACCTGGATTTTTTCCCCCGAACCAGAAATTAGAGATTTTGTTTCTGACCCCCATTGCCAACAAGAAGAGGGAGATACAATCACACTTGCTATGCAAGACTTGGAATATGCTCAATCACATTCAACAACATACAACCAAGAGGATGCAAGTCAAACGGTATAGACACTTTCTTGGATGAAATGGTGTCCGATTTCACCACTGATGTTGTCAACACCAAAAGGGATCTTCATTAAGGCAAAGAAAATACAATAAATGGAGTTTTCGAATCCACACCCAACTGACTAGTATCCAATATCAGACCAGTCCTCCTCTTTGCTTTACTCATATTGTTGGGACTAGCATACTCTCAGTTCTACTCCAACAGAATAATCCTAATAAACAATAATTTAGAAAATAGAGAATCTTGTGATGGCCATATGGTTGCTTGCTACAAAAGCTACAAACTTGATTGCAATACGGGACATAAAAAGTAAACCCAGAGAGGTCCCAGTCCTCGCCATAATTATAACAGAAAATCCCTCACTATCCCAATTCAATGCATCCTAGCTACTCATACAGGCAATAGACAGGGTACAGAATCATCCAGAAAGAAAGGAAGAACGATTCTGCTTACCATTTGCTACATCCCTGAGGAAAATAAAAGACTGTTTCAAGCAACCTAAGCATGAAGAGCAACAGAATAACCACAGAACAAGTGAAGATAAGCAACTACAATTAGGACCTTTACACAAACAAAAGGTTCATTCCTCACTCATTAACGATCGAAAAGACTTTCCCTTAATGTCAGAATGCATGACAGATGATTAGTAAATCACAGCGCAAAAGAAAATTGTAACCGGAAACAGAGAGAGACTGTACTGTACCAATGGTAGGAGAAGGCTCGTGAACAGAATTAGAGATGAAGCTGAGAAGAAGGCTGCTCTTGCCAACACCCGAATCCCCAATCACCAATATCTTGAATGAGTAATCAAAGCTGCTGTTCCAACCTTTCCCAGAAGAACCCTTCATTCTTTCCAACTCTCCAGCCACAAAAGAAAAAAAAAACACACGAAAAGTAAAAAAAATGAAGAACTATCTTTCCTGTGTTTCGCTGCAACACCCTCAGTTTCCATCAGCTGATCACCACTTCAAGAAACAAGTAAACCCCCCATGATACCACAAAAGCGTGTAATCAGCGGGAAATTTCCTCCTGTGGTAAAGGGACAGTGAAAGGCGTTGTAGCGTAGCGAATGCCTTGTGGATGACAATTCCTCCAAGTAATCGCTGAGCATAAGCAAAGCACAACATCGACCGGAAAATTGCAGAGACACGGAGGTTTGGGCAATGGACAAACGTCCGTTTGATTGTTTGAACGGTTTTTTGATTTTTTTCTTTTCCTTGATCCCTCCGAAGTTGTTTTCTGCTGGCTCGGGTCCCACGCGCCTCTCTGCAGGCGGGCTCGCGGCGCTCGTACCACGGACGAGCATCCACGCGCCGGTCGTTTGGCATTTAATGGCTTGTCCATTTGTTAATCAAAATTTGATCATGATGCGACCAACGTCAAAAGGGAGAAAGTACGCGTGGAGTTTTTTCTTTTTCTATTTTCTCAAACTTTCGATTAAGCTTGGAATAGAATATCTAGATAATGACTCGATAAGGGATAGACATGTTAAAATGGATCATAAACACATTTCTTAATCTATATATTAATAAATGGGTCATATATTATTGGTTAGTTATAATTAGTAAATGGATCATAAATAGGTATAAACTTATTTGTGTATGAGTCGGGTCGGGAATAGGTCATTAGATTTGCATTATATAGAAATGAGTATAAACGGGTTAAATTGGTCTATTTGGGTCGGACCATTTTCGACCCAACCTGACCTGACCCACTCGTTTGACAAGTCTAATAAGAGATCAAACAAATTAACTCGGCAAAATTTATATTATCACGATTTTTAAACTCAACGGACTTTTTTCCTTATTATAATTTTCATTGTTGTTGGTATTTATATGTAGAATGCGACTCTATTCGAAAGAAAAACATCAAAGGGTTAATACCACGAAAATCCCATATTGATATATCTGTGATAAATTTACTTCAAATTAATTTTTTAACCGCCAAAAAATCCCAAACCGGTACACCTATGACGCAAAAAACTAACTTTTTGACTATCAAAAACCCCAAATCAATACATTTATGACAAACTTACCCTCCGTCAAATTGGATTAATACTACGAAAATCACAAACTGGTACACCTGTGAAAAACGGAAGATAAAATCCCAAACTAATCACGTATTATTCAACTCAGCAATTTAATGATAAAATTTAACAGAAACTAGAGGCGGATAAATTTGTGACAAGTGTACCAATTTGGGATTTTCGATCATCAAAAAATTAGTTTGGAGTAAATTTGTCACAGATGTGCCAGTTTAAGGTTTTTCGTGCTATTAACCCTTAAAAAAAAGAGAGAGAGAGAGAGAGGAGGAAATTGATTCGATATTTACAAACGATATAATTTCGAAGAACATAATCTACAAGTAATTCTAGTATAGTGAAATTCTTTTTTATGAAAAATGGTGGTGTATGAAAATCATTTTTGTAAATTGATGCGTTAATTTTTTTTTTGAATAATTATTGATTAAAATCGTCTAGAAAAGCGACTTGCCGCCACGCGCTTGAGAGTGCGACGATGGTAAAACCGCGGAAATGAAAATCCAACTAGCGGATACGTAATGGCGCCACGAGGGGGTAACTAGTGTTGAACATGCAATGAACACGCGAGTCCCACCTCGCCTACCTACAATCGCCACCTCTTGCGTTCCACCTAATGAATTTTCGCTTTCATTTTTTTGGGTCAACACCTATGTTCATGTCATCTATTAATTCCACCTTTTCCAATTATATGTTACTTCGACTGTTTTAGATAATCATGAGATTATCTGTATCTCTTTGGACTTTTCGTATCTCTATCGTGATTATGCATGTATCGCCGTCGATTGTCCATGTGCTTGACCGTAATTGGTATTGTAATATATTGTTACCTTATATAGTTATCATGTAAAGCACATAAATACTTGAATAACTCTCTGTCATGTAATGCACCGATATTGTATACTTCTTTTCTGCATATTCTTATCTTGGTATCGATGCCGGATTTTACTTCGGTTTACCATGCTTCAGCCGAATCTCGAATGCTTCAGATCATCTGGACATGCCATCGATCTCCTTTTTCAATTAAGACCCGTAACAAGATTGCTACAACTCCTATTGAGACTAACATCAAATTTGACGACAAATATGGGAGTACTTTTTCCAATTCCACACTCTATTGTCAACTGGTTGGCAGTTCATGAGCGTGCCATTGCTACAGTTGTTCGGATTGAAGGTACCTTATGCCATGGCCTCATTTTTTTCCTTACTCTTAAATTACACATTTCAATATTAAATATAGGATTTAATTGCTTTTCAGATAAAGATTTAAATTATTTGCACCAATTAAAAAGTGTAATAATCAATCTCACTTTTCTATAAGGCTATGTTTGATAACCAAGATAAAAAAAAACATAGGAAAAATTTATTATATCTTGTGTTTGGGTTTTGCCCAAGACATGATATAATTAGATATAAGATAGGTATAACCCAGATAGAAATATCTTATGGGGGAGATGGGATAAAAGTGGATATGATTTTTTATTTCCTTAGCGTAAAAGTTATTTTTCTCGAATAACAAACTTCTTAAATTAATAAAATTAAAATAATAATTAAACATAAATAACATTTGAATTATAATATAAAAAAGAAAATTCAAAATAGCATAAAAATAACAACAATTTTCCTTTATATTTATTCCTATTTTTATTTATACAATTGAATCTATTTCTAAACTATGATATATATTCTATATATTTTTTGAATTTATATTTATAACATTTGTTAGGTATATTAGTATTATTTAATAAATGTTTTATTAAGGAATGATGGAAGGGAATAAAAAAGAAAAGAAAGGGAAAATAATTAAAAAAATAAGAAAATGAAAATAAAGTAGGCAAGAGAGTCAAAGTGCTATACTTTTCGAAATCACGAAGGTGAATAATCATGTTTTCTCTCTCTTACTAGATTCGGCATTTGCTAGCTGATTTAGCTCGTCGATGTTTCTGTAACCTAATTATATTTCTTGTCATAGTAGAACTTATTGCTTTAGAATACTACAATGAGCCCCTTGCTGTTTAAGATTTAGATTGTCCAATAATCATGAATTGATTGATAGAAGTTATCTCCGTTTGTGTATTTGTGGTTTCTTTAGAAGCGAATTATAAGAGATTATTACCACCTCCGTTTGTGCATTTTCAAGTTCATTTATACTAATATGTTGTTCATACCGAACAAATAGACATGATAAGATATAAAAATATTCGGTTTTATTACTGCGATTTACCAAAAAATAGTTAGAATATAGCAAAATATATTGATTTTATATTCCATCTTATTCAGTCCTATCCTGCCTGGAGATCCAAACGACCAAACGTAACCTAAAGGTTTATGACGATATAGCTTCAATTAAAAGGTGAAAAATTTGGATTGTATTTTACACATAAAATAGGAAAAGGAGTGAGCACGATGGAGCGATTGTATAGTGGGCTTAATATATGGGAAAACTTGTGAGAGACACAACAAGCATCGAGAGCCAGCATTTAAGAGAAGAGTTAAGAGTGTGAGAAAACTTCTCTCTGTGGTTCGGGCTTGATCTATAATTAAGAAAAGGAGTAAGCATGATTGAGCAATTGTAATTTCATCCGTACCGATTATAGTAGAATCATTTCGTCAATCTCTCTTCGTAAAGTAAACGGACCGCCAAACCTGATAAATCCGTTGTGTTCAAATTTTATGTATGCAATATATTTCTTATTCAAATTATTTCGTTTGTTCACGCTTCCGCAATATGGTTTGAACGCCAATTCCCTTTATTATCATTCTCGTGAATTTGAATACATATCTGTCTCTAAGTTTGTAATAATCTTATACTCTGACGGAGCCTAGCCTTGTACATTGAATTTCTTTTACTTCAGTAAAATTATGAACCTCCGATTTCTTCTCCAAATCTATCATCAATCGCCATAGAGATAAAATCATTCTAGTCATCCATGAATCCAACCCGTTGGATTAGTGATTAAGAAATAGGTGTGTGTGGAATAGATGTACAACACATTTGATTCTCCACGTAATCAAATGTAAGCAATTTAATGTTGGATCACCACCCAAGTTTTGACTTACATTTCATCTAAGTTTTAGTCCATAAAGTTAGTGCAGTAATTCATTAATCTGAGATTTATCCGCATAACGTGGGACTTCCGGGACTTCCGGTTGTAAAGAAAGAATCGCCAATGTTTAATTTTTACCCTTTTCTTTTGCTCTTGGCTAGCATCTCTTAAGTCCTAGAGCCCTGGATCACAAATGCCAAAAGGAAAAAATTCTGGCATCATTCACGTAATTGGACATGGATTTTCTATCCCGTACAGTGCTCCTCTCAATAAATTTGGACCATTGATTTATGAAAATTTAAATTTTTACAAACGGTTGAGATTTTACTGAGACATAGAGGGAAATGCCATATATGGTAATAGATTTTCCTAAGTAAAACTAAGGAAACTAATGAGCGAATATGGAATTAGGAAAAGTTGTATGCAAGCATTGAGATGAGAAATCAATCGACGGTGGAGAGTGAGTTGCTTTCTCGCATTTGGTAACTCAGAATTTGGTAAGAACGCAGATAGAGCTTCTAGAATGCTTGATTTTTGGCAGGTGCTATTTATGGTATTAAGACAAATCTAGAGCATGAAGCTAAGGATGTCCAAAACTTAAAAGGGAAAGAGAGCAATCATGAGAGTACCATAATACTACACACCGACAAAAATTACTTAAATAAGATTAGGGTCTACATAGCAACGTTTCTGTTCCCAGAAATAATTTTTGATCAGAAATAGTTTTTTCTATTTCTATTTCTTGAAACAGTTTCTGAGCAAAAAATAGCGTATAGTAATTGCACAAAATTTCTATTCCTGGAATAGAAAAAGAATAGAAACGTGTTTAGGGCGCGAATGATTCATTTCTATTCCATTGACGAGTTTCTCCCTTCTGGGCTACCGGCGGAGGACAACGGGTGGCGGTGGGGGGCAAAGGACGGTGGTCGGCGGCGGCAGAGGATGGCAGCCGGCGGTGGGAGGCAGTGGAGCACTGCGGTTAGCGGCGGAGCATGGTGGCATCGGGCGGCGGTGATGGCAGCGGGGGGCGGCGACGGGAGGTGGCTGGCGGCGGAGGGTGGCCATCGTCGGTCGATGGATCACAGCAGCCGGTGGCGAAGGATGGCGGCCGATGGTGGGTGACTGCCGGCGTCGGGTGGCCAGAGGCGGGAGGTGGCCGGCCGCCGAGGGCAGACAGCGCTGGGTGGTGGCCGGCGTCGGGCGGTGGAGCACAATGGCCGGTGGCGGAGGATGGCGGCCAGTGGTGGGTGGCCGGTGGCGGCGGAGGACGGCCATCGGTGGTGGGTGATCGCTGGCGTCGGGTGGTTGGCGGGGGGAGGCGGCCAGCGCCAGGTGGCGGCCGGCGTCGGGCGATGGAGGACGACGGCCAGCGGTGGAGGACGGCGGCCGGTGGCGGGTGGCGACAAGCATCGAGCAGCGGAGAACAGTGGTCGATGACAAGAGGCGGCCAGCGGGCGGGAGGCGGCCGGCGGGCGGCGGCGGCGGAAGGTGGGCGGTAGGTGGTGGCGAAGGACGGCAAGTGGCGGCGGTGGGCGGGTTGCGGCCGATGGATTGTTTCTTGTTTTTGGAGAATTCTAGAAAAAAAATCGTTTTTTTTTCTTGTTCCAGAAACAAGAAGCATATTTTTTTTGCTTCTTGTTTCTGTTCCAAATCTATTTTTGGAACACTTTTTTGTTCCAGAAACAAAAAAATAAATTTTTTTTACTAAATGGATTTCTGTTCTTTTTCTGTTTCGGGGAACAAAAGAACAGAAAAACATAAAAATAGAAACGTTACTAAACAGACCCTTACCATTTCAAACCGGTAATTTCATGATCCATTAACCTAAATTAACTTTCATTTCACAAAAAAATCTCAAATTGACATTCACAACATACTTACTTCAAATTAATTTTCTTTTAACAAGAATCTCAATTTATCTCTCAGAAAAATCCAAATCGGTACCTCGAACCTAATTCTACCTTCTAGTACCGTATCATTATCTACACACGTGGCAAATAAGTGCAGGACGGATTTGGCTTGGGGAATGACGTATAAACATGAAAATCTATATGCGTTGACACGGATGCATTTTAACGGATGATAGATTTGGGTTCAGGATACTAGTTTAAGATTTTTTGTGAGACGAAAATTAATTTGGAGTAAATATGTCATGGAGCAATAATTTAGAATTTTTGTGAGATCTAAATTAGTTTGTGATAAATATATTATCAGTTAAAATTTGAGTACAACTTTCTTATAGAAGACAAAAAGTATCAATTGTGTGAGTCCTCTGCCATTTTGGGAACGACACTTGGTGGTCAAATCTTTCCACATTGGGAAGATAATTCCAGCCTTTCGTTTTTCTTTTTGTCAAAAAAGGTCGCCTACCATTTCAGGCGACCACTAACAGCTTGAATCTTACAGAAGGGAAAAGGCTTCATACATGGTAACAAAACCCATGTCTATCTAACTTTCGATTGCCATGTAAGTAAAGCTAATCAAATGCATAACATGGTTTTAACAATAACAAAGAAAGGTAAAAAAGAGTTTACCTTCATATTTCGAATCTAAGTGCTCCATAAGAACAATCAAACTTGAAATTGGTCCAACCCCTGTGTCAATCATTAGTATGTCGTGTTGTTTTAGAATATTTATGCATTTGCAGTTATCAAATTGGGTATACCACAAAAAATCCAAAACTAGTACACATATAATAAATATACTCCAAACTAATTTTTGACCACAAAAAACCTCCTAAACTGGTACGCTTATGATAAATTTACCCTCCGTTAAATTTTACCGTCAAATAGCTAAGCTGGATGACACATGGTAGTTAATGGGTGTGTCAGTTTAGCGTTTTATCCCTTTATTTGTCACAGATTTACTAGTTTGTGATTTTTCGTGGTATTAATCCAATGCGATGGAGAGTAAATTTATCATAAGTGTATTAGTTTAGGGTTTTTTGTGGTCAAAAAATTAGTTCGGAGTAAATTTGTCACAGATGTACTAGTTTGGGGTTTTTCGTGGTATTAACCCTATTAAATTAGAAGACTTCATATAACAATGACTAGTTCGCTGCTACACTAATTTCAATGCAATGTCGGATTATGACCAAATCTCCATATTCGAATTGGCGGAGGTTCCGCACGGTCTATATATTTTCAAGAAACATCTCGAAAGACAAAGAAATTTCGAAAAACGGTATATCATATTAGTCTTAGAATGCACAAAGCGTGTGACTACTACAAACAAGATTTGCCTCGAGACATGTTTGGAAGGCTGCATTTATATGTCGCTCGGTTGTAATGATAAGGACACAACTTACTTACTAGTTTGGTGCTTTATGTTGAGGCCAAACGGGCCTATTTAAACCAATGCAAAGCATGACCAATTGCCATCACAAAACTAATACCTTGCATTTGAAGTTGCAGTCTCCTTCTTCCTCCCCATTCTCCAACATTCGGCCCTTCCACAGATCATATCCACTTAGTTCATATTCAAAATGAATTCTCAAGCATCGTCTTCTTCGACGCTCACACCAGATGTCGCCTCTTCTTCAGCTGCACCGCAAAAAAGCTATTGTCTCCTAGCTCCCGGGTTCAGGTTCCATCCAACTGAACAAGAATTGATCTTGTATTATTTAGCGCGAAAAGCATTTGGGGAACCCTTATACACCAATATTATTCCTGATATTGACGTCTATAAATTTGAGCCCCATGAAGTACCAGGTGACCATCGTTTTCCCACGTTCATCTATGCTTATTAGCATGAATCTACTCTCTGTGTTGTATGATTTTAGGATTTCATCTCCTATTTTTTCATATTGAATACCCAATAATATTTAGCGCATTATTTAGAACATAAAATTCGTAAACTAGGCTTAGCATTATTCAAATGTGTTTTTGGGTGGTTTTTTTCTCTCTTTCAGGAAAAGTTGCAGGAGACATCGAATGGTATTTCTTCAGTAAGCTGGACAAGAAATATGACACAGGAGTGAGAGTGAATCGATCTACCGAAAGAGGGTTTTGGAAGGTAACCGGGCCAGAATACAAAATCAAATATGGCTCCCATGTGATCGGCGAAAAGAGGTTTCTCGTGTACTACGACGGGCATTCGAAGATGGGGAGGCGGACGGACTGGGTGATGCACGAGTATCGACTGACCGACGCAACACTCCTAGTGGCCCAAGTATATGATTTTTTCGTTTTGGATGTGTATCCTTGTTCGTTCCTTATCAAGTGAAAGGAATAAAGCGATTGTTCGAACTGAAAGGAGGGTTTCTTTCGTTATCTTGCAGCCCAGTGACGTCTGTGCAGTCTACAAGTTATTTTGGAAAGGCAACAGCCCAATCCCTAATGGCCCTGCACCCGTTGCCGCCGCGGTGGAGGGAGAGCAAATTCATAACAATAACGTTGTTCCAGCCGATGCCGTTCCTCAGGTTTGATGAGTTCTGATTTCGAAGTGTGGATATAATTGAAGTGGACACATATTGTTTAGATCTGTCTCTTCAGTCTTGTTCTTAAACATGTTTCTTGTGCATGCAAGAAACCCTAACACTTCGTCGAACACATGTTTCTTGTGCAGCCTTTGGAGGCATTTGGACCGAACGACAACAATATAGAGACGGCACTAGCTGAGGAGGGTCTAGAAGTAGCACCGGCTGCTTTCGCCCTGCTTATTCACAAAGAAGCCCCTGCTGGAACTCTTGATCTCTTGACCAATTTCGACGGCGAGGGTTTGTCTGAACACTCGGAGGAGACTTCATCCGCGAGGGAAGACACCCCGACCCGTCCAGTCAAGAGACCCAAAATTGAAGCTGATAGCCCGCAGAACCTTTCCCCGAGAACTCAAGAACCGAACAGCTCAAATTCTGTGGCGGAAGCTATACCATCACTGAAATTGAGCTTGGCATGCCTGGCGTCGGAAACAGCACCCGAGCAACAAGAACAGCGACAAATAGCAACGCCGCAGCCAGTTCCCCAGGAAGCCGTGGAGCCACCGCAAACAACAAGTGTTCAAACCGCGCCAGCAATTCGCATAACCGTCAAGAGGGAGACCGTTAAGCGTGAGACATCGGAAGACTAATGTGCGAAAGATGTTGAATGGTCGCAGTCCGATGATTTGCGGCGGGAAAACGAGGCATTCGGAGGAAAATTAATCCAATCATTAGAGTTTAATCATCGTTGCATTATGTTCTTAAGTTCAATAAGCAATTTCCTTATCATGTGGTGAATTCAATGTTGGCCTTCCTTTGGCCCTTGTCTTTCTTTTCTTTTCTTTTCTTTTGGGTGTGTCCCAGAGTCTGTAGTAATCTTGGCTAGTAGTGGAGCCTTGTCCACCACCTTTCTTATTCTAAGCAATAGCTCCAGTTCTTTTCCTTCCAATAAGTGGCCCCCAACAGCAAATCCTCCATCAGTCATTTCTTTTCTTCCTAGTTTCCCCTTTCACTAGTCCCTTAGTCTCTATACAATTAACCTTTCACTTATTGTAAATTTCGCAGAACTCACGCTTTCGACTTTTGTTTAACTCGAAACACTCGAAACCTTATAACGCACATTAAGAAATTGACATGTAAAATTGTGTATAATCCCGTTGTGTCCTTATCTTCAAATTTCGGAGGAAAACTCGCAAGTAAAAAAAAAAAATTGAAGTAGGCAAACAATATCAGCCAAAACAAGCCCTCAAGATCTTGAGAGCTATTCATGGGTGCACCTAAATTAGGTAAACCCAGCCTCAGTTAGTCAGCATACCTTATAAAGCTCCTATGCTCAGTTTGGGAAACAATCAGTTTATGGGAGGAAAGTGAAGTTAAGGAAAATTTGTTTGCAGGACCTTGGGATAAAGTTTAATCTACGTGGAGAGAGATAGAGATAGAGTGAGTCTTCCTCTCGCATTTGCTAAGTCGTCGGAAATGGAAAGTGCAAAAACAGAAATATTATCATTTTGCATTTTTGGCAGATATAATTTCCCATTTATGAATGCTTGAATTTGGTAAGTGTGCACTAGAAATATTTTCTGGCAAATTTTAATTCGTGCGCGTCTATCTAACCTGAACCAGCCTGTCAAAGTAGGTTTCCTGTTTTTGGAATTAGGAATTGAACCGGTTCAACACCGACCTGAACCGGCATACTTTTTTCTTTCATTGCATTTTTCTTTGTGAATCAAGCGATCATATTTATTTTGTACTTGTAACATTAAAAATTTTCCTATAGGAAATTTAACATGTCATTAAAATACTTCTAATCCAAACATGCTGCTGTTTTCTTTTTCTTTTTCTTTTACTTTCATATCTTGTTTTCAGTCAAAGACGATAATCTTGAATCTCTGCTATCACCTTGCCCCGGGAATGTCTCTAAACGGGAAAAATCGATGGGATGATTCCGGTAAGAAGAGCTCAGAGCATTCTGGCTCGTCCCATGCCACTTTCAGGCTCTATTGAGCTCACAGAAAATGGCTGCTCTACACGAAACCATCATGCTGTATTTGTCAGCTAGTCAGCAATTTTTTGCCTAGTACCACAAGATATGGAATTCGACCTTGCAGGGTTAAATTTGTTAAGCATAAAACAAACAAACTAACACGTACCAATCCTATGTATATAGGGCCAAGAGAACAAAGGAATCGAAATCACAGCACACCGCGATCGAAACATTCGACGAAGAAATGGAAAACGAAACCGACGTAGAAAGAAAGCGTACCTGGCTAAGAGCGGGCTGATTGATGGCCGATCGGCAAAGGCGATGCCGAAACCCGCAAGACCGAGAGAGAGACGAGATGAGATGGCATCGGCAAGACTTGAGAGAGAGAGAGAGAGAGAGAGAGAGAGAGAGAGAGAGAGAGAGAGAGAGAGAGAGAGAGAGAGAGAGAGAGAGAGAGAGGGCGTTGGTGAGACCAAGGAAGAGACTGGACATCGGCGGCAAGACTCGAGAAAGAGAAAGATCGAGAGCCCCGCTGGAGAGAGTCGAGAGACTAGAGAGTCTAAGAGAGAGAGGGCAAATATGAGAGTGAGAACTTGAAAGGAATATAAGCGATCCGAGAATCAGTCTTGAAACCGGTTCTACTTGAGAACCGGCCTTGTTAGAATCGAACCCAACGGTTCCCGAGTTAAACGGTTCGATTCTTCACCCTCAAGTATTTGCATTAATGAGTACATATATGGTAAATATTTGGCATTGTGATAGTAAATTGACTATTAGCCTATCCAAGTAGACTATTGGAAAAAGTATGACATTCTATTTAGTAAAATTCATTTGTAACTATCTTTCAACTCATGATTAGCAAATTTTGCAACAAGTTAGTACATTTTCATTTTATACAGTACAAGTAGAAGTACATGTGGATAAATTATCCTTACAACTAGTAAATTCTTGTATGTATTAGTAACATTGGAGTTGCAATTAGGTAATTTTTTTTTTTACGGGGTGAGAAGTTTGTGATCAGTGTGGTAATAAGAGCAATAGCCCATAGAATTGATGTTGGTAATTAGTAACTTTCGACTATCAATTAGTAATTTTTGCAACAAGTTAAGTATGTTTTCGACGGTAAAAATGATCACGTGTCTCAAAAATTGAGTAATAATTAATAGACTATGAGAATCACCTATGTAAATCATATTATTCTAAGTATTGCTCGATATTACACGGAGTCCATATTATCACTTCAAGATCCGTACTTTTCAAGTGAAACCGCAAAATTCAAATCGAATATCAATATCACATAAATAGACTACGAGAATCGCGTATGTAAATCATATTATTCTGAGTATTGCTCCATATCACATGGAGTCCGTATTATCACTTCAAGATCCGTGCTTTTTCAAGTGAATTCGTAACATTCGAATCGAATATTAATATCACCTTATAAATCACATTATTCTAAGCATTGCTCGAGATTGCGTGGACTCCATATTATCAATCACTTCAAGATCAAACGTTGTTTCTCCGAGTTCCTGTCTCCTTCTCCCAGCTCTAATCTGGAGAGGCCCATCTGGAGAAGCCCAAAACGAAGCGTTTTACTGTCCAGAACCAGAAAGAAAAACCCTCTCGTTTTTTGCAGCAGGTCTCGATGATGGTCCCGAGCCGAGCCTCGTCTTCCTCAGAGCCCCTTGCTTCCCCTATCTCCAGTGCCTCTCCCTCTTTCTTCCCATCCAAGTAAACTACAAACCGTCTCCCTCCCTCTCTCTCAATCTCCGTGAACTGAACCCGACCCCTTTTGGGTCCTCTGCGACTTCGCTTCATTTGTAAGCTCTCGTGAGCCTCCACTACCAGAAACTTCCCAGGTTCTCTCTCCATCTCTCTATCTCTCTCTCGAGCGGGTCAGCCTTTGTTTTGTCGATACAGCGATTCTTTTGGGCAGATACTCGTGCTTAGGTTTCTGGGTTTTTGTTCTTTCGCCTCGTTTTGTGGTGAAGTTGCTTGGTTTTGGGTGAATCTCCGAACCTTGGTCCTTTGGGTGCTGCTGATTGTGCCCTCTTTGAATTTGTGCTTGGGCTGAGTGTCTGTCGGGAATGCCGACCTGCATGTGGGTTTTGCCGCTGGATCGGCGCTTGTGTTTGGCCCGGGTGCGAGCATTTGGTGGGATGGGTTGCGGGTTCTTCGCCTTTGTTGTTGTTGCTCGAGTTGGGCTGCGCGCTGTGGTTGTGGTTTCGAGAATTGGACTTGCATAAGATGATTTTATGTGGGAAAAGTTCTTGCTTTGGTAGTCTCATTTCCTGTGCTGATGACTTGTGTCCCTTCTGTGATTGCACTGCGTGAGATTTCACTGAAGTGGTTGGGCTGTGATCCTTAAATAAGTGAAAAAGTATGAACTTTGAGAAACGTGTCCTTACTATTTCACCATAGCGATGATTGTAATCATCTGGTGAACGAAGGAATGAGATTTTGCTATCCTATTTGGGGAACCTGGATCTTTCTTGGCAAAGGGGCAAAATGACAATTTTGATCACGGTGCCGACAACATTATAAAATGGTGGATATTGAGAATCATAATGATGAACTATGTGTTTAATATTCCCAGCAGCTCAGAGGATATTCGGCTACAAGAAGTCTGCGGCGGATAGAACGGATTAAGGTCATAGTTGTCCTATGAACTGAGTTAATTGAAAACATTGATAGGTGAAGTGATGACCATTTTACTGAAGATAGATTCTTCTTGGCTATCCAGATTACAGGCATAAAAAAAAATATCGGGAAAACTTCAGGAAACAAGGAGAAGATGTTATTGCTTGTATAAAGCGAAGAATAGCCCCATCTCTGATGATTTCGAAAAATAAAAAAGAAAACTGTATTTAGAGTATCAAGATATATTGGAAGAGTGAACCTTAGTGTTACAATACAGTTTCTCCATTTTGAGGTGTTATGACAAAAGATTCCTGGAATGTGGGGTGAAGCTGATTAATTTACCCAACTCCCTGTTTATCTTTGCGGCGGGAGAGTCTCTTTCATTGAGAGACACTTTGCTTGACCACAGGATAATGCGCAGTAAGACGATTGTGTGGATCTTATGGTTATGGATTGTAAAGACTTGTTTTTTCTTGTTCTATAATATGGTGTCCTTCTTCTAGCATTACAAAGGTTCTTTTATCATTCGGGTGCATCTAATTGCGTTAATGAGGGCTAGGTTCTGATTCACAGGAAACGAAAGAATCTGCTTCGAGGGTGTGGTCATCTAACTTTATTGCTTAGTGATTCTATCAGAAATGTTTGTAAATGTCTTACAAATGCACTGGCTGTGTCTTGTGGGGAAGCCGACTTAAGGATTGAGTGATGCTTATGCATATAGCTCTGTATTTTGGAAGTTCAAAGTTCAGAACAAGCGTAAGTTCGTTGAATCTTGTTATATCATGTATGGCAATAAATATGTGCCATGGGGCTTGTGCCAGTTCTTTTCTTTTTGTACTAATAGTTGAGATACGAACTTATAGAATAGACAGTGAGAAATGACTTAAAGGGGAATGTCTTACAACTAAAGAATCTTTCAGTGGATCGTGCAACTCCATCTGTCCATCTCTTGTCAAGCTGTACCTTTGTTTTGCTTATACAGATATGGGTCCTGAAACATCAACACCTTCAACATCTGCAATAGCTGTGGCTCCATCTGCTCAAAAGACTACCACCACCGCTTTGGCCCCTGGGTTCAGATTCCACCCAACAGATGAAGAGTTGGTTATATATTATCTTAAACGCAAAATGTGCGGCAAATCATTCCGCTTTGACGTGATAGCCGACGTGGATATCTACAAAACGGAGCCTTGGGACCTTGCAGGTCATTATTCTGTTGTTCCTTTATTCTCTCTGTAGTTTTTTTGTGTAGTCACATGGACTTGGATATGTTTAGATTCTGCAGCTCTTTGGCACCTTGCAGGTAACAAATGCGTTTACTTCTCTCATCTCTCTTCAGTTGTATAACTGTTTAATTATATGAACTGGGGTGAGTTAAGATTATGCAAATTTAATCGGCAATTATCATTCTTTCTTTCATTAATATTTAGATGTGTTAGTAGTTTTCTTCTGTGAATGTACCTAGTAATTCATTTGCACCTTAGTGTTGTACAGTGTTATTGCTAGAGTACTATATAATGACTTCTTATCCTGCCATTTGTTTCAATTACTTATATTTGTTTGGTATTAGGCAAGTCAAAGTTAAAGACTAGGGACCAAGAATGGTACTTCTTTAGTGCATTGGACAAGAAGTATGCTAATGGGGCTAGAATGAACCGGGCCACCAGCTCTGGTTATTGGAAGGCAACTGGAAATGATCGCAGTGTTCAGCATGACTCGCGTGTTGTTGGGCTAAAAAAGACACTTGTTTTCCATAGTGGGCGAGCTCCTGAAGGGAAGCGAACGAATTGGGTCATGCATGAGTACAGGCTAATTCAAGATGAGTTGGAAAAATGTGGTAATTTCAAGGTACATATTGGAATTGGCGTCCAATCAATAGCTTATTAGCTTTCCTTTGTGCAACTTCAAGTTATTAACTGTCTCTCGATAATGACAAATGTCACAAAAAAGAAAAGATATATTCTTTCTTGCTTAGAGTTCTGAAACTGACCTTCACCCATTAGGAATTTGCTGAGGATACTAGATTATAACCTTTTATTTTGTCGAAACTTGACATTGTGGTGTCTATACTATATATCTCGTGACTTGCAAGGAATTTAAGGCCATGGCATTTTAATGGAGTTACATTATGACATTTAATATCCATCTTATCAGTTCAGTTGACCAATGAATCCAGGTGCAAAATGGTGGAATGTTTTCTTGTTGCTATTGTTGAATTGGAATACGAATATAGTCAGTAGTGTGTTTCACCCAGTTAGTCTCTGAAAAATATGTATCGGACGCCTTTTTTTCTCTCTTTTTTTTTTGTGGGGTGGGGGTTGTTATACGAACTGTTCTTACTATGTTAATCATTGTTTTGTGTGTGTAGGATGCATACGTGCTTTGTAGAATATTTCATAAGGCCAATTTAGGGCCACCGACTGGTCATCGATATGCCCCTTTTGTTGAGGAGGAATGGGATGGCGAAGCGAATGTGGTTCCAAGTATAGAGACCAGAGAAGAAGTGGTACCTCAGGGAAATGGCAAGGTTCAGGTTTGCGTTGCCTAAATCTGATTCCTACATTATTATACTGTAACTATTATCATTCTCTCAACACGATCTTTATTTTTTGTATTGTCTCAACAAAAATGGTGATAGGGGAGTCCATGGTCCAGGTTGTCAGCTCCAAGGGTGGAACCTGGAACCACCCTGCAGGGGCCTGTTTCAGAAAATTTGAATGGGGAACTGCTTTTGGGTGGCTCCTGAGTCTTCCCAGGAACTGGCCTTTGTTTTTTAGACGAAAACTAGAAATTCAACAATTGAAACTTTCTTGCTGAGCCAAGTTTATATAACAACCAGCCATCAGAATGTATGATCAAACAAACTTACATGCAAATCAACTTATTTAGGAAAACAAGCAACAGAGACAAGGCGAATAATATCCAAAACAATGATGAAATATAGAACTGAAATTAGGGCTGAATCTTATGGCAAAAATGAAATATCACCAAAAAAGAACCTCCAAATACAAATTGAAGAAATATAGGAAACAAGTGCGAGAAACAACGTTCAGAGTGTGAGGGAAATGGAGAACAGCATAGACTATAAGCTGTTAAAAGAGAAAAAAAAAAATAACAATTGAGAGAAAGAGGAGGGCAAGCCTCGGTGTGGTGGTTAAAGGTTACTCCATTGTAGCCTGAGGTCATGGGTTCAAGTCACAGAAATAACCTCTCTGGGAACCAGGGGTAAGGCTGCATACATCAATCCCTCCCCAGAAACCCCATATGGAGAGCCTTGTGCATGGGGACACCCTCCTTTTAATGGTTGAGAAAGAGTTTTATAAGAGTGATGAGGTATGGCTGAGTTGCTGAGGTTATTAAAATTTCTTTTTTATCATTAAAATCGCCTAGAGCTTGCAAAATCAAGTTCTAAGATCATATTTGCGTGTTATGAAAAATGTCGCGAAGTAATATACGCACTTATCTATTTACTATTGGCTACGGTATTCCACTAAACTCAACTGTTTGAAGGGCTGATACATGATGTCATCAAGTTCACCCACAATAAACCTGATTTTAAGGCGATTTCATCTGGCAACAATGTTGAACATGATTCACATTGGTTAAGCAAACTTGATTGGTGAGATGCTGCGATTTCGTGAGCTCAAATGTGATTTTAATATCACTGCTTGTGGCTGCTGTTGGTTGCCTGAACACTTGGTTTAGTGGTGGGTTTATGAGGGCTCTTCATACTCAAGCCCAGAGTTCAAGTTTCCACGGCTGCACTTAATAAGCATTATTATCATTATCATAATTCTTATTCTAAATATTATATGATAAATGAGAGAAAACCAGTTTAGAAGCTGGTATATGGGCGGTTTGCTTCCTGGTTTGAAGCTGTGGCCCTGAAGGTTAGAAGGGGAACCTATTAGTACTAGGACCCTGAGGAGCTAGATTCGAGAATCATGGGCTGGAATCAAACTGCCAGGTCCGTTCAGCCCGTTTGTTGTGTTGGACGGGCCCACTTGTAATGCCCCAATAAGCCTTGTACATCCGTGGTGATGATACAATTAAATCTTCCGCTGGCTAGAATGAATGTTATTCCTGAATGCTTAATTCAAAACTTCAGCTGGAATTAAATTGATATGCAATCTGAAGAGTTCTCATGTGAGTGCTTATAGTATGTCGCTTGATTACTACAGGAAATGCCACCCCGCATGCTTCCTGTTTGCCGTGATGAACTTCCGACTAAGACCCAGTGCCTTCTGGCTGTTTGCAAGAGTGAAACAATGGGTGAGACTTTAGATGATCCATCTGCAATGTGTCCAACTAACAGGGAAACTGCACCACTTCTTCATTACAAACGACGGAGAGATATTGATTTGAACTCAATTGATTCAACGGGTTCGGAAAATTCGCCCAAGAAAACTGAAGGTCCTTCTTCATCTACCATCACAACAGCAAGGTCGGCTATGAATTTGACCTGTGGATTATCAACATTGGTGGAGTATTCTTTGATGGAATCACTTGATATAAAAGAAGGACCTCGTATTCCTCTCTCGACTTTTGCCCCCGCCAATCTTAATGCAACAATGCCTCCTGAATGTTTAGACTTCATTCACAGTTTGCAAGAGGAGATTTATAAGGTGTCCATTGAGAGGGAAACATTAAGGCTCGAAATGTTGAGCATCCGGTCAATGGCTAATGTTCTTCAATCCAAAGTCGATCATCTAACAAAGGAGAATGAGGAGCTGAAGCGGAAGGTTCAAGATGCTTAGTTGCTGCTTGATGGCTTTGATGTTGTAGCTTTGCTTTTTCACCTTCTTTTCCTTCTTCCTGATTGTTGTACTGTTGTCTATCAGTGGCCTTCGGAAGTGAAGTTGTTCAATGTACCTTGTTAGTCATTGCAGCTGTAGTGTTTCTGCCTATCAGTGGCTCTTGTCTGTCTAGAACTTAAGATACTTTGAACGAGACGAACAATGATGTCGGCCTATTCCCCCTCTATTATGTTAATTTGGGAAGCAGCATCCGATTGATCATTTTCCTTTTTCTGATTGATCTCTTGAGCAGTCCTTTGTTATGGTGGTTGCACGTGGTTTATTTTAATGGAGTCGGTGCTACTCCCGAGGATTCCGGCGGAAGCTATATGAGTTTTGCATTGCAGGCTCAGTTTGTTCTTTGCATGAACCAACTGATGATGTTGCATTGAGTTAGTAGGTTCATTGCCTCTTGCTGTTGAAGTGGATTGATGTCCATAGGTCTTCCTTTAGGTGGGTAAATGAAAGCCAACTTAATGATTTTTGTCGTCACCCATCGTTGCAAGGGTTAATGTATCTCTTCTCTTGATTGGATGAAGCTAAAACCTCTTCATCTGCTGTCTGCATTCTGTTAAAGCAACCGTGCCCAGCAATTTCATAGGGTTCTAAATATACGGTCTGAGTTGAGTTTGCTTGTGATCTCGAAGAGTGATTTCATGGAGAAAATCGATGCTAGTCGGCATTGGCACGGAGAGCCTTGTTTGAAGTGGATCTCATGCTTTGACGGGCTCCGGTTAGTCCTTTTGGCGTATCTTATGAGATACATAAGACACGAACCAGTGTTCTTTGTCCAAGAACGACGAAATCACGCCTTTAAGGGATATCAAATTGGAGGAAGTAGCTTCCCGCCGGTGTTCTGATATTTGGTCAATACTCTTCAATCTGGTTGTTTCATGTGTTTTCAAACACCAAGTGGAGCCGTACTAATAGACATATATTCAATTCAAGAATATGCAGCAGGTGTTTGTTTGATATTTTACGCGACGATTACAGGGCTTTGTCCAGTAAACAATCAGGTCATAATCAAATCCTCTCTGGCTATTGTTTGTTGCTAAAATGATGATCTAGTCCGAGTCGATGATATTCCCACAGCAATTCAATTTGGTTGGAGGTATTTTCGCTGGGCGGCACCAGAAGACAGATTAGCAGGGGATGGAATCCATGCATCACGAAGCATTATAATAAAGAAGGGTTTCTTGTTTGCCTCTCTGGGAGCATTACATGAAGCATCAGACATGGATGTTCTCAAAGTTTTTGAAGATTCCAAGGACTTGGTCCTAACGCTCAAGCCGGCTGCATAATACATATGTTGTCCTCTTCCAAATCGTGTCACTACGACAACGATGTTTACAATGACAAACCTTAATTCCGACGTACATAAAAGACAGTCGAGATAGCTCAAATATGCTGCTTCTGCATTTGAACAGCCTCCAAAAAAAATTTCTGAGCCTCTGAGAGTTCTTGCCATCTTCAAGTTAGGAGTAGAAATATGTCAGTTGAAGAAGGGTGGTCTATTCTCAATGAAGAAACGAGACAACACCACCCGTCGGTTCAAAGAACAAGCGGTTTTGATCCGAGAACCGGAATCTACAACTCTCTCATTGAACTTAATGAGCACCAAAAGATCCCAACCGATCCCAACCTCGGCATTGCTTCATACGTGCTCTCGCAATTCCCACATGCTCTTGCCGAGTCGCGTATCGCACTGATTGATGCGGCCACAAACTGCCAGAGCTCATATGCACATCTCCACCGCTCCATCAGATCACTCGCCTATGGACTGTATCATGCACTTGGGGTCAGAAAAGGCGATGTGGTCTTCCTGTTGGCCCCAAACTCGCTCCTTTACCCGATTGTGTGTCTTGCCATTTGGTCAGTCGGTGCGATTCTCACTCCGGCTAATCCGTTAAATACCACAATGGAAATAGCTAAGCAAGTGGCCGATTCCGGAGCTAAGCTCGCAATATCTGCACCAGAAGAGCTACATAAGTTGATACCAACCAAGCTTCCTACAATGCTAACAACCAAAACATCGGATGGCACTTTGCTTTCTGTGGAAGAAGTCATAGAATGCTGCGACCCAATTGATCTTCCCCTAGAAAGGCCGACTCAAACGGATACTGCGGCTGTTCTCTACTCCTCAGGAACCACCGGCACTAGCAAAGGTGTCATATTGACTCATGCAAATTTCATATCCATCATCACACTACTGAACTGGTCAGTCAGAGCATCCTCCTCTCAAGACGACGTGTTCCTATGCTTCATCCCCATGTTCCACATTTATGGGCTTGCTTTCTTTGTGCTCGGGTTGTTCTGCTCAGGAATCACTACAGTCGTGATGCAGAGATTCGACTTCCAGGCCATGCTCGATGCCATTAAAGTGCATCGAGTCAATAACATCCCTGCGGTGCCCCCCGTGATTCTTGCGCTAGTGAAGCACGCCAATAACATGAAATGTGACCTCTCGTCGCTTCGAAGAGTGGGTTCTGGGGCAGCACCACTGAGCAAAGAGGTGACTGATGGGTTCCGAGAAAAGTTCCCATGGGTCGAGCTGAGACAAGGGTATGGGCTAACCGAAACTTGCGGTGCAACCTCTTTTTTCGCATTGGATGAGGAGGCAAAGGCCCATTCTGGATCTTGCGGGAGTTTGATACCACACTTCTCGGCCAAGATTGTCGATATCGAAACCGGGTCACCTTTGCCACCTAACAAGGAGGGAGAGCTGTGGCTGAGAGGCCCTACAATAATGAAAGGTTATCTGCGGAACGAGGAAGCAACGACTGCGACGATAGATCCCGAAGGGTGGTTAAGGACTGGTGATCTCGGTTATTTCAATGAAGATGGGTTTCTTTACATTGTTGACAGGATAAAGGAGCTGATCAAGCACAATGGTTATCAGGTTAGTTACCCCATCAGGCTGATCATTTTGCTTTGATCCGGCATGTAAACTGAGGCATAGTGCATCTCTGGAAGATCAGAATTTAGTAAAATGAGAACCGAAAACAGAAAAGGATGCTCATATGATCTAGTAATGGAACCATTCTGACCCGTGGATCATATATACGATATTGCAGGTTGCTCCTGCAGAACTGGAAGCTCTACTACTTAGCCATCCTCAAATTGTTGATGCAGCTGTGATACCGTGTGTCATCTCTCACTCTCTCTCTCTCTCTCTCTCTCTCTCTCTCTCTCTCTCTCTCTCTCTCTCTCTCTCTCTCTCTCTCACGTATGCCTGTGCATGTTGCACACATGAGCATGCATCTTTATGTGTACGTGATATGTAGATTAAGCAGAATGCTGATATTATGCAGACTAGAGGATGAGGAAGCAGGACAGGTACCGATGGCATATGTAGTTAGAGCATCTGGTTCGGAACTTACCGAGAATCAAGTCATTCGATTCATTGCTGACCAGGTTTCTTATCAGTCACTGTCTACTACTTCCTTGCTCCAATAATATGCCAAATGAGAAAAGAACCCAAAGTGAGATTTTTCTGTGTTCAATTGAAAATTTGCAGGTTGCACCCTACAAGAAAGTGAGAAGAGTGGGGTTCATCGGCACCATTCCAAAATCTGCCGCGGGGAAAATCTTGAGGAAGCAGCTGATTTCACAAACCCAACAACAACTCAATTCTAGATTGTGAAGTAATGAAGTTAGATGATGGCGGTCAGTGTGTCGAATTAAGAAAAAGAACTCCAGTAGTTATACAAGATCTTACTACGGTCTTGAGGTACCAATAAAGAGTTCACAGTATGCAATGTAGCTCCAAAGTATCCAGATTTTCAAGTCAACTTTCATCATCTGAAGTAATGTCAATTGAAATCTATTAGTTGTCTGTCATCTATTGTCCATGAAACCTAGTCTCCTTCATCAGGGTAGAATAGTTCTTTTTTAGGACTGTTAATTAAATTCCTTAAGTTCAATGCATGGGATAATCCTGAAAGCCTATTTTGCCAGACAGTGCGCCGCGTCATCAGCATCTCTCCTAACCCGGGAAAGTTTTCCGCTTTGGGTTTCTGTTAAGCCAGCGAATATCATGGTAAGATAGTGTGCAAGAGTTACTTGACATAACGTCCTTTTCATTGTACCGTTACAACATAAGAGACACAAAAGCTGAGGTATAAGCATTTTATTCTTACCGTGAGTTCTCGAATGCTAAGGAGAAAGGATTGCAGTTGGCATTTCTATCGCCGTAGATGTAGGAGAATCACAGAGTGGCAGTATCAAAACGCGGTGAAAGCTTCCCAAATCTTAGATTATTAATTGGATGAACTGTTCACGTAAGGTACAGTTCACGAGATCCAGATCAAACAGCAAGTAACGAAAAATTTCAGCTCACGATTTTACGAAGGTTAATGCTGCAACTGTAATGCCGAGTTTATCAAAAGCAGATGAATCTGTAATTTCTTGAAAGGAAAAACAAAATACAATGTGATCCAGGACAAAACGGTGATCCATGACAAACAAGGATAATCTCCGAATTCAAATGAATGATTAACAGTATCTGATTGTAACGAGAAGATACATATACTTCCACATTGCAGAGATGGGAGAGATAGCATCAGAACAGAGAACAGCGAAAAGATACGAGAAAGCTCCTCCATATGCCATCCAAATGAATCTTAACGACAATGGGATCATCTGATAGCAGAAGACTAGAACCATAGCCATCCATCTTCAGCCCCTCAGAAATTTCTCCCATCAGTAATGCCAAATACTTTGATTTGCCCATTTAAATTGTTGGGTAGATGTAAAAACCACAGATCTTCAGGACATCAACGAGCTTGACCTAGCAAAGATCCAATCTCTGCATCGCTGTACTGCGGTTGCTCGAGAAACTATACAAACAATGAGTCATAACAAGCTTTAACTTTGGGGCACTAGCCTCTTCAAACTTTATGAACTTCGTGGAGCCCCGGACAACCAGCTCAACAGGCCGCCGGAACCTTGTCTTGTGGCAGTTGCAGCATGCTCCATATCCTGTTCTAGTGCAGACTTTTGCTTTCGAAGAACTTCTACCTCACTTTCAATTGAGTGAAAGGATTCCAACACCTTCTGCAATTCCACTATTTGTGCCTGTGTATCATCATAATTGGTAACCATAAGCCACAAAGTCGCAAAGAACAACAAAACTTAGTTTTATCATAAAAAAAGACTATAAAGCATACTGCTACTGCATAAAGTTAGAAGAAGAACCTCCAGTTTGAAGCATCTTGATCTCTCAGAAGTCAATTGACCTTGGACAGAAAGAAGCTCCTGAAAGAACACAGAGACAAAAATTAAAACTTCTATCATCACTCATGAGGAGATTATCATCTTACAAAAACTAGACACACCTTTGAGAGCTCAGCATGGGTATTTTTGACTTCTTCTATCTTTTCCCTGAGCCTAGAATTTTCTTGTCTGGCTTCAGTAAGTGACAATTCCATCACTTTCTTGTCCTCTCTAACCGCATCGAGCTCAACTGATACATCTTTTTTATTCACAACTAACTTAATTGGTTCCTCCATATCAAGGAAATCCAGTTTTTCAGATTTTGCCAGGGCATATGCAGCGGTGACGGAAGCTGCAGCAGCAGCTGCAGCCGGTGATTGAAATATCTTAGGACGTGAAGAATCTCTTGGTTTGGGTCTCATGAGAAAAATCTAGCATCAAAGTGGAGACATATAAAAACCAAGAAGGAAAATGAAGTCACTATTCGATCTGTATCAAGATGCACAACAATGATAATGAAAATAAGCAGCCGGAGAGTCACTTCTTGAAGATTTATTGTGAATAAAATTGTTCACGGGAATGCAATAAACATGAATAGGCGAGTTCTTAGTAAGTGAATTTTTGTTATCCGAGTTCCATTTTACACTGATGATTTAGAAATAAACAGCTGCATATTGGTAACATCATAGTTTATCTCCCTCCTACCATAGCCTCATATTTCATTTCCATCCCTACCATTATCACAGCAAAATATCAAGATTACCACATGCGTCGCTTTTCAAGTGAAAAGCACAGAAAATGCCCATTCCACTGGCAATGCATCATAAGAGTCCTGAAATTATCTATCTCAAGACAAGTGGCCATGGGAAAAGGAAGACATCCAATACAAATATACAACAAAGATCATACATCTCAACCCCACCAAGAAAAGCAAAAAGTCTATTTCATTTCCGTAAGTAACATAGGCCAACTTCCACAATAACTTGACTGAGTAACTTAATGAATCCTTCACAGGAAAAAGAATGTTATGTACATCATGTTTCGATCCTTTAGAACATCAGAGAATTATGAAAATAATAAGATTAGTATCCTTGATCTGCTCAAGTTTCCATTTATACTCAGAAATTCTCATAAATATGTCGGCACCCAATTGGACAATTAGCCATAGATAAATCAATCGAAGAAAGAGAGGTAAAATCAGCATCATGATTCATATCAGGATAGCTAACATGACTCAACTAAAACCTATAGAGTTCATATTCTCCAATACCTCATTTTGATATTTGCCATTGTAGCCACCAAATGCAACCAAATGTATCTCACCAGCAATAAGTGCTGAGCAAACACTAAGTCCCTGCTTCCAAGTGTACAAAAGATAGGTATATCAGATAGTAACAAGAAAGAAGATACTAAATGCACCAAGAAAAGAAGATAGCTGTGTTAGATACACACTATAGGTTAACCCGATATGCAGCATTTTTTTTTCCTTTTCCTTATAGGATACGCAAATTTAATGAAACAGGATACAAAGATGATGATAAAAACAATGCCATATTGACCTCACTAGCAAGTGGATCCCTCTCCTTCACGGTTGTCAATGTTGACCAGACAAGTTTAGGCATATTTAACATCAAAGTCTCTGAGCACCCTGTAAGACATTACATAAAAACTTGGAGGGCTTAGTCACAAAAATTTGGGAAAATCAGAAAAGAACACCCACAACTCGGTTCATAATATATCCTACATACCACTCTTGTTATCTCCACCACCGACAACGTACCAGCTCTCACCAATGGGAACACCAGCATGACCTGCTCGAGGAGTAACCATATCACCCCGAATTTCAGGTTGGGACCATTCCTTCTGCAATATACCGTCACACTGGATGTTTAGATGTCATGTACAGTGAATGTGTATTGTCTGTTCATAGAGATCATTTGTCTCAAAACTTAAGGAAGTCTTTTAATAGGTAATAAATCATTTTATTAATATAAAAAAATTAAAGCACATAAAAAATGTACAAGGAAAGAAAGAAAGAAAGAAAGAAAGAGAGAAACAAAGGACACCATCACAAGACTATGAGAAATCAGAGCAAGATGTCCAAAGCCAAATAAAAGAGTACAACGCAGAAGCAACCAGAGATTCTAAACCTCAAACGATCTTTTGTTGTGTTACTTCCATCACATGAGTCAAAGTGGTGCAGCACTCCAAGACTTTTTAAAATTTGAGCTTCCTCCAAAAGCCTTCCATCAGCTAAAAAGCTGGATGGCACGACTTGGCATAACCATGCCACATTACACAAGCTAAGGATATTATTAAGAGCAAAGTCAACAGTACAGATTCCCTAGAATGTTTACACATGCGAACACCAATCCGTGAGAATGAAATTCCATTTCCTGAGATTCTCAATAGTAAGGATCTTATTCCAAACTACCGCCCAACAGAAGAAAGAGATTCTATAAGGTAAATGGTGCAGCCAGATTTCTTTAGAGGGGAATGAGCAAGGGGAGAAATTCTCCAAGATAGAGTAACATGTTATAACACTAAATTTCTTGTTATTAGCTGGGTGCCCACCAAGGCCACCATCTTGTCATCCCTGAAACCATCAATTTTGAACGAGTACAGAAGATCCAAAAGGGAGTAAATCGAGGAAAGCTCCCAATCCTTAAAATTCCTGAGGAAAACAGGATTCCAATGAATGGAACCACCATCCAAGGACATATAATCAGAAGCCATGGCATCCTTGTTGATTGCTAAAGAGAATAAAGTAGGGAAAATAATGCACTTTGCCAGAAAGATGCTCTTCTTCTGTTTCCAGTTTCAAAATAATGCAATGAAAAAAAGATCCTTAATGTGTTAGGCTTCTTGATAACAGATGCCCACAGGATGACAAGAACATGCAGGTGCACAAAATGTGCGAGCTTTTTATACCCAAGGTTTGAGGTCTGAAGTGAGCTCGAGTGTACAATCCAATTAGTTTCTCGAGTGTACAATCCTATTAGTTTCCCACAAAATTTGTAAGATTAGTTGACAACTATCTTAATTTTCTTCTTTTCCTTAGCATTTGTCTTCATTTTCTTGTTTTGTCAATCTAAATTAATTTTGCATGTATCCATTAGTTGTTAAGATTTCCCAATTTCCACATTTAGCAATAACATCAAATGAAAAAATTGCAAGTTCCTTCTATGTATAGAGCTTTTACAGTTCACAAGCATTTCTGTTCTACCAATTTCAGAAAAGAGCACATTAAGGCCCTGGAAAACTACTTTAACTGTGCCCAGGTCCAACCTCCATATATCCTTATGAAACTTCTCCAACCATTACCTTTAGAGAGGCCATCGATCACCAACAACTAATAAGTACACCTAATATCCAAAAAACCAAAACAAAGCTGTCTCCATATAATCTAGCAGCTAAACCCACAAAGATCACCTGCGTATCTTCTTTGCCTATGCAAGCTCCGTGTCTCAATAAACCCAATTATTTTTCATACTAATGTAGGGTAAATAAGCATATCTAGCATTACTAACAAATAATAGTTCCAACAGATCTAAGCAATGAAGCTACACCTATTCTGCAGAACGGTAGTCAGCATATCAACAGATAACTTGAATGAAGAGGTATAGGAACAATAATTCTGAGATCTTTTGATTTCTGAATTTTTGTACTTACCATCTGCAAGTCCAGTACATGCAGATCACTGAAGAAGATCGAGTGAGAGCACCCACCAAAAACTATAAGATAGCGATCCCCATGCACTGCAGCTGTGTGGTCAAATCTGGGAGCCGGAGGTGTCCGCCTATCAACATGAAAAGATACCATGTAATCCTTTTCGAAAACAGTTTCCAGTATAAGCCAACTACAAAAGCAAACATTTACGTTGCCTCAAGAAGTTCCCAGCTCAATGTCTCTAAATCAAGGATGTGCACATCATTTAGTAATCGCCTTTTTCTGTCTTCTCCACCAAAAACTATAAGCTTAGATCCAACAAGAGATGCAGAGTGGCCCCCTCGAGCTTCCTGCAATATAAACCAAAGATGTACAGAAACCAACTTTAGTTACAATTTTAGGGCAGATGAAACTTATGCTGGATGATCTGGAAAATATCATCCTTTAAAGGTGGATAAACAATTCGATATTCGAAAAAAGAACAGAAAAAACTGGGAAAAGACTCAAAAACCACTGTAGCAATTTCAGTTGATAACTTACTGGAGCTATTCCCGAGGTCTCCACAAAACCACATTGAAGCGATTCTAAATCAATGAACCTCACTACAAGAACATGGCGCACTATTCAAGATGTATAAAACCAAACTCCAACTTTAGAACAAACTTAAATCCAAAGTACCATACCTGACATACTATCAGAATCATGCTTTGAGTGTCCACCAATGAGAAGTAGTTTGTTTCCCCATGTGATCTAATGAAATGCATAATGCGCCATCAGGCTTCCAATAAGCTATACAAAGAACAATCAGATTATAAACACGTCTTATAGAGATCCGTTACCGTAGTGTGACCTGAGGTGGATAGTAGATTTTCTGGTGACCAGTTACCAATTTGTGATTCCATCTTTAATCTTACACTAGACCATGTCAAACTTTTAAAATCAAAGGCCTGCAAAAGTAACCAAATGCATGACATACAACGTACAATCAATCAGATGTGGATGGATGGAAATGGCATGTTGAGTACCTGAACATCAGGCAAGTATCGACCATTTCGACTCCCACCAATGATGTAAAGTTTCTCATCAACAACAGCTGCAGCATGCTATATTACACATGATACCAATGACTATCAAGACAAGGCACTAGATCACAAGATGAACACTACATCATAAAAATAGATGACTGAAAGGAAAATAGGCCAGATAAATATATTTGGCATTTCTAAAGGATCAAATGACTAGTATTTAGCCATTACCTTGTATCGAGCAGACGGCCGTTGCCCTGACACCGGGAGTGCTACCCACTGGTCATATGCCAAATCCGAGCACCAACTGTCAATATCCATATTTTTTCTTGTCTCTTCTGTTCCCATCAAATATCTGCAGCCATCCACAGAAAAAGCATCAAATGTTGGAACATTTTACTATTCTGTATAAAATGTAAAGACGGCATTCAGAACTCATATAGTAAGATTACCATGATTCTTTTACAATTTCTAAGAAATCAGATATTTCAAATTACAGAAGATAAAAATGATTACCTGAATATTGTATGTTTGAGTAAAAAGGAGGTATGGAATTGAGAAACAAGTTTTAATCACACATGCACCAACATAAATAACTACATAAAGTACTTAGAAGGACAGGAATCAACTGTTAAAGTGCACGTGTGAGGGTGTTAGGCGAAAGAAGTCCCACATCGGAGATGTGATCTAATATGGAGTAATTAATATATCCTCATTGAGCCATAACTCATTAGCTTAAACTTTCGAGTAAAGGTGGATCCAACTAGATATGTAGACAAACTCAGACTTGAGCTCCCTCTAAGTGATCTCTCCGGAAGAAGGTATGAGGTTTCTGCTGCATCAACCTAACATATAGTATCTGAGCCGATGGTTAATTGGTGGCCCACTCCCAATGTGTATCAGTGTTTTGTGAATATCTCAATGAAGGAAACCCTCTTATGTGACTCTCTAATCGCGGTGGCGGATGGTGTCCTAGGCTTCTCACCAAGTTTCGTTGAGTAGGTGGAGGCCGTGAGGGAGATTCGTTAAGGTACGCGTGTAAAGGTGGTAGGCGAAAGATATCACACATTAGGGATGTGGCTAAGGTGGAGTGGGTAATATATCCTAGTTGGCCCAGGCTCATTGGCTTGAGCTTTTGAGTAAAGGTGGGTATAACTAGATACGTTGACAGGCTCAGATTTGGGCTACCCCTTGGTGATCTCCCCAAATGAAGTTATCAGTCTTTTGTTGTGCGTCCCAACATCAACGCCATCATTTGTAGTATTAATCTATCCATTCATTGATGCTATGTCATGATTCTTTCTACATATGCTCTCACACAGACCTTACAAGATTTCAACCTTTGCCCAGAGTCCAAGGCACATTACAAATTTCAATTCAACCTTCGGAAATGAGACTCTTCTCGGAGAACTAGACCACAATGCGGAATCAGAATCGAACTCTCATCATCTAATTAAGGTTGTCCAAAACCAGTCGACTTACTATCTCAGAGTGAGCCGATTATGACTGAGCATAAATGCTCTCAGCATAACAATAGATCCAAACACCGGCTACATAAGCATAGATAAAAACAAGAAAATCAGCAATTTCCGAAGTCCGACAAATAGATTAATTCACAAGCTAGCCCAATTGACCAGTCGCTGCATTTCATCACACCGCTCCCAGTCACAATCAAACCAATCGACCGAGATCGCGCATTCTCAGCCATCATTAAGCGAACTTCAACAGCAGAAAAACCGCGCACACGACACGCGCACATTCAGCTCAAATTTGAAGACGAGACTCACCGAGACACGAAGCAATTGTCCGAGAATTCGCGGTCACCGTAGCCGATCGGACGGCGAGGCTCGAGCAGAGAACTTGGATCCAAGCGGCGGCGGTGGCGGCGGCCTGCGGATCGAACGGTGGCGGGGGGGCCTCCGGAGAAGCGACCGCTCGAAGGGCCGCCGTTAGATCTGTCTCCGCTCCTTCGGACCTCAGCACAGCAGAAAATGTAAAAAAACGAGAGAGCGTTGCGTCGTGCGCAGACAAACTAAGCGTACAGGAGGCCGACGACGACGATGACGAAGCGTTGCCTCGTTGGCTGGAAGAGAATTGGCGCTGACGTGGCAGCGATATGGGCTCTCCATATGGGCCCATGTTGAGGTTAGCTGGGCCCGTCCGATTAAAGCGTGGGCCCATATATGGATTTGGGCTGATGACAAAGAGGCCCACACAATAAATGAAGATAAAATCTAGAAACTTGATTGGAATAGCAAGGTCCAATGGGCTGATCAGGCGCTTCGGTTCTGGCTCACATGCTTTAAGTCCACTGATTTGGTAACTTGTATTCTAATCTATACCGTATGGTAATTCAAGATTGGTCCGTCATCTTCATCCTCGTTGATGCGATCGAATCGCCACGCTCGCGGGTTCTCTCGGGACCGCCCCAGGAGCTAGCACAAAACCGCGTGTCTCCGGGCAGCCGCCCGATGTATGTGGGATGGAAAACTACCACTTCCGATAGAGATTAGTCGAGTGTTTAAAGAGTATCGAACATCCTATTGATATAAGAAATTTTGATGGTTTCTATATCAACACACTAAGTGATGTTATGGTTTCTTTTTTTTTTTTAATGCGAACTTCGAATACAACCCACGTGCCGTTTGTCGTCTCATTTTCGCAAACTACTTTTGTGAATCGGTCGGTCTAGGCATGGTGTCTCGAACCAAAACCATTGATAGATGTTAATGTGATTATTTGTGAAAACACACATCTCCATTGGTCATAATGAACGTAACCTTACTCTCTCACTTTCGCTCGTTTCCACTCATGATGTTTAGCGGCTCTGTAATGTTCATTCAAACCATTATTTTTCGTTCAAACCGTGTGAACTATCTTTCAGTTAAAACATTCTTTTAACTTGTTTTTGTCAACTAATTCATTCACTCGTCCGGGAGAGATAAACTAAAAGTAGAGGGAACTCATCGAACTATTAAGCACCCGTTTGGAAAACTCGTCGTGGGTTTGGAACGAACTCGAAGAACAGTCGAAACATTATTGAAACGAATTCGGGACGGAGCCGGGTCGTCCCGAAAACGTCGTCACGCTTTCGTCCCTTAAGCTTAAGAACGACAGCAGCCTAATGCAACCGTAGTGTTACGAATAGAGCTCGACATGTTATCGGAATCAGAGGCTAGGGAGTCTGATCATCCATCGACCGGACGCTAGATGCCCGGATTTGGTGAACCTGGCCACGAGTATCAGTCCGCGATTGTTAGTTCAGAACAAGGTCGACAAGAAGCGACCGAGGAGTCAAAAGGATGTGAATGCCTGGGACGCGAAATCAGATAATGATGACGATTGAGGAGAAGAGTGCGTGCAAGCTTGCATTCGTACTATCATGGCGACCCGAAGAAGAAAGTGGAGGAGAGGAGACTGAAAGAGGAGGCACCACCTGTCACGCGCCAAAGCGTACTTGTGAAGCAAAGAGTGGAAAGAGACGAGACCATTGACAACACCTCACCTCGCCCACTACACCACCATTGTTGCAGATGCTGACAAAGGAAATTTGGGTAGGTGAAGATGACGGTGGTGGGATACGATACGTGTGTCGGGGAGCTGTTGTTGAAAACGAAATATATGACTAATCTCTCAAATTATAACCCCCATTAATTAGACTAATCTAAAAATTTCCATTGCAAATGAAATCGATTCGGGAAATGAAGGTACATCTCGATACTATCCCTATACTTCCGAGCGTTTCGCGAACGATCTCATCAGAGTTTTCGAGTTTGCCGAGGTAGATAAAGTTCTCGGAACCATAAGCAGGAGGGTTTGTATTTAAGCCATATATGTTTTCTCTGGTGAAATGATCGCTTGATGAAGAATGCTGTGAGATACGAACGCAAGCTTCTTAGAGTAAGAACAAGGGGATCGATCGATGTATAAACTTGGAGCTCGTATAATCATCTCTTCATTTTCTATAGTGGAAATCCACAATCACATGCAATGCAACCTTACATTGCACATCGAAAACGTGTCAATATGCAACTAATCAATGGCCAGAAACCGAGAGACAAGTGTTAACCCAACTCACTACAAGTGATCACTAATTAGTGGTCAATCGCTATAGTGCAAAGAAAATCAAGCAACGCATTTTAATAAAATGTTGCTCCGACAGTATAACAAGCTGACCTCGACTAGGTGATACTATTTATTGGTCCCCCGGCCTATTTTTCCTTCTAGAATTTGCTTGGCAGGGACTTCACCAAGTCAGTAGTGGAGGAAAACTTTACATTATACTCTTCAATATGCATGAAAAAAAGGACAAAAAAACGGAGTACACGACAGTCCACCACCATATCCCAATATGACAACCCACCACAAACACCACTAACGAAAGCGTAAGAGCATGTGCCTCTTACATTATCGTCGCCATCATCATCTAAAATGTAGAAAATATTATTTATACATATGTTAAAGAAGTTTACTAGAAAGAAAGCTTACACATGCATGCACTATAAATAGGGACCCTACCCTTAAGCTTTGGTATGTCACGAACACTTGTGAGCATTGGCTTATATAGAATAATCCACGTTTACAAAACAAAGAGTTTCTCTTTTCCCACTTATAATCTACCTTAGCTTTTGAGTCCCCTGCAAGATTGGCAATAATGGGCAGTCCTAAGGTGATAGGGGCTGCATTCTTGGTTTTGCTATTCGTGGACATCGCCTTTGCTGCTCGGTCTATACCAAACACTCTGCTGAGTAAGAAAAGTGGAGGAGGTGGTGGTGGTGGTGGAGAAGGCGGTGGCGGCGGTGGAGGAAAGGGCGGCTCCGGCTCGGGATATGGGTCCGGGTATGGCTCGGGGAGCGGTTCGGGCTATGGCCGTGTTGGAGGAGGTGGTAGTGGAGGTGGCAGTGGCGGCGGTGGAGGCGGAGGCACTGGCGGCTCAGGTTCCGGGTATGGGTCAGGGAGTGGCTCCGGGTACGGGTCCGGGGGTGGGATAGGGAGTGGAGGTGGTGGTAGCGGAGGTGGAGGAGGTGGCGGGGGAGGCGGAGGCTCGGGATCGGGAAGCGGCTCCGGCTATGGCTCCGGCTCCGGCTCCGGCTCCGGCTACGGAAGCGGTAGTGGATATGGGAGCGGCGGCGGAAGAGGCGGAGGCGGCGGAGGAGGAGGCGGCAGCGGAGGAGGAGGCGGCAGTGGGGGAGGCTCGGGCTACGGGAGTGGCTCCGGATATGGGTCGGGGTACGGCTCAGGGTACGGTGGTGGTCCCGGCGGAGGATACGATGATTCGCCGTGAATCGGAATGAGTGACCCCATTTCTTCTGGTTTGAGCTCAGAACATTTGCTACTTGCGTTCCAATAATAAAGGCGCGGAGGCTTCTTCACCGAGACGCGGTTTGCATGCATGCGCTTGTCGGGGTGGGCTTTAAGTTGCTTGTGTTTAATCAACGCCTGTAATGTTGGGTTTCTTTCTTTTTACTTTATTACATGTACAACGTTAAAAGAGTTATCACTGTAAGATGGCTTTCCTTATTAATAATAAAGAGTTGTAATCTTTGTCAAATTATTTGACAACGGGGGTGAGGTTGATATCAAGTTCGATTGCTTACGTGTAGAACAATCAGCTTCAACCGGAAGCTTTCGCGTAGAATACTAAAATGATCGGCTATCGAAAGCGCAGTACCGGTCAGAAAGATCACCAAAAAGTCCGTATGACAAGCTAAATGTTCTTTAGCCAAAAGGGTAAAAAGAGCTAAGATTTTTGAAGTGCGATTTTCTTTGGCCATCAAACTTCGAAAGAGCTGTAAAATAATAAGATTGTAAGCTTATAGGACCCACTAAGTGCTTAAACCAGCAAATCACACTGAAACATGAAAAAAAATTGAGAGCCAGAAATCAGACTTCGACTCGACAGCCGATAATATTTTCGAACCCAGTCCAGAGTATTTGAGAATCGATGAGGGGATTGTATGGGTTTCAGCCGAAAGGAAAAGGCATTGTGTGGCGCCACACCACACCCAGCACTTCCTTCGGCCAGCCAGCATCTACACCAACCAATTTGACACACAATGCCAAATAATCCTATGAGCAGAAGAAGCAAAAATGAGATGCAAGAAATTGTACTCTGAATTCTCAACTTTTCTTCTGCCATTGTCTTTCCTTAAAATAGTAACTCTAGGAGATGTACCACTTTAGATAGAGAATAACCTGCTCGAAAGCCAAGTTAATTGTTCGATTTGGGGAAAGAAACAACACGAATTTCCTACAACAATTTGCTTTGACTTAAATAAGCAGATACTATTTTGAAAAAGAACGAACTCTCCAAAAAGAACTTCCCGATCTCATTCTTCCAATGATGACTCGTGCATCGCCTGCCATCGAATTAGATCACAAGGGATTTTAAAAAATCAGCGAACTTGTGGGCAAACTGAAGGAGGGTCCACAAATTTTTTCTACAACAATGGATGGAACTTGAGAGCTAATTCACGCCTTTCTCCGAGGCATGTGCAACCTTTTGCAAAATCATGGCCTCGGCTGCACGAATCGCTCTCTGCGACCCCGTGATTGTGACTTTCCTGCTCCAGACGAGTAAAGGAAAAGAACATAAACCTCCTATAGTCGAGATTTATCAGGAAAACAAATTAAGGAAAAACAAAACTCTTAACAAAGTTATGTACCTGTCAGTTGTCCCAGACATGAAATCACCTCTATCTGATATCTTTATCCTGGCCCCAGTAGCCTATAAGGTCATTGTCGTGACATTTAGTGCTCAAGTGAATTTTGACAATGTCAAGTGACTATAATTTTCAATTGCAAACCTGGCTGATGTCCATGATATTCCGTCCACCTCGACCAACCACCATTCCAATGTGCTCATCTGCAATGCCAATAGTCATCGAGTTACTTCGATCTTCCTGCAGAACAATAAAAAAGCTTCGTCATTATTCCTATGATTAAACTAATCCAGTATTTCAACCAAAAAAAAAACTAATCCAGTATGACCTCTTTTATCAATTTGCACCATTATACATAGAGAATTAGCTGGTTACTGGAAATTTGCCATTCAGAGTTAACAGCATAAGGGCTTGACATGGAGACAAGAGATACTGTAACCACGTTGACTAGACCTGCTCAAATGGGTGGGGTGGGCCTGTGGTCAGGACTAAGTATAATACCAAAGCTTGCTCACTAATAAAAAAATTGCAAAACAATTTACAGGCTCGGTCGGATTCAGGCCAACTAGGGCATGACCAACTTTTTCATGTAAGCCTTATAGCCAAGCCCACTCGTTTAACCCTTGAAAAACCTGAACTGTTGGGTTACATCAATGACCAGTAACACACTAGAGTCACACAGCCAAGATTTGGCAGATATTCAAACTTTGACGGAATGGAGCATGCATTTCCCATTTTGAGAAATAGGCACAATGTGAAAGTCTATAGCACTTTGCTAAACTTATTATTATTTTCTTTTAGCTCGGCTGCACTTTGCTGAGAGTAAGCCAAGGTGAAACAGTAAAAGATCACTCCATTGTGGTCTAAGGTCAGGGATTCAAGTCACGGAAACAGCCTCTGAGAAAAAAAGATGGGTAAGACTGCACACATCAGCCATTCCAGACCCCGCAGTGTGGGACTGCGGGTAGCCTTGGGCATTGGGACGCCCTTGGCTGCACTTTGCTAAACTCAAGTTTATGGAAATATTCATCCAACTGCAGCCAATTCATGCCCCCTGAGCTCTCTTAACACTGCCCATAGACTTATTATCACAGCTACAAAGAAAAGAAACTTCATACCATGTGGATGCAGACTTTGGGATAACACATAGCAACTCAATATGATACTATAGTAACTTGGAGAAATGAACTGTCATAAAGATCATCAGCACTAAGAAAATGGATGAACCTTGTTATTCTGAAACTTCCCTCCAGCTCCAGCTGGTCCATAGTTCACCCCGTTATATGCTGCTGTTGCAACAGAAGGAAGTACATGTGTATAGGGAGTACCATGAAAACCGGAGAAGTAAACACCTAAACATTCAAGTTAAACAACTCACTATTCATTGTACATCACCATAATGGCATCGAAATCAATAAAGGATACATCTCTGCTATGACAATGATAATAGTCCATTCATTCTAAGAGGAACTTGCTAAAAATTGCAGAAAAATAAAAAAATGCAGGATATCCAATAAATCGACTCAACAGCAACTTGAACTGATTGATTACTAAAGAGATACAAGAATCAGTCCCTGCACCTGATTACACCAGTACTAGGTTTCCTAGGCATTAGCTAAGCTAGGAGAACCAGCACTTCAATCTGCATACTATAGCCTGGACAAATAATCAATTTCAATAGCTTATGCATCGATAGTGGTAATTCATCCATTCAGAAATTATGATTTAGGTGACCTGCACATATACTGTTTTCTCTTTCTTTTTCATAGTAATGAATTGATAGCTAAAATCTTCGATTTTGTAGGTCAGGATTGCTCCGTCAAAGATTTAACTCCAAATATTTTTCGCTTTTCCAATTCTATGACTGGTTCACAATTCAAATTATTGCTCCTTGTAGACATTTTGTCCCAAATTTCACCAATAAGTATATATCCATTTGATGAGGCCAAAGCAGTACAGCATGAGTAGAGAACACTCCAGCTCCAGAGTGTGAGCCATATCTATGAACATGAGAATATCAGAGATGAGAACCTGGCAAAAATTTGTTCCCTTCAGCCCTTGGCACTCTCCTTGTAACACTTTGAAGGTTAGTGTGAAACCAAGTCATGCAGGTAAAACTACTCCATGGTACATTTAGGATAAGACCAGATACGGGTAGATGGCTCTACAGAAGGTCTATCTACAAAAGAATAAAGTCCTGCCTAATATTTGTTTGAAATCACTGGGAAAAGCAACAAAAACGGCGATCCCAGCCAATCATCTCCATGCAACAAACCTTATAAGGCTAAAACCACCAGATACAATAACTACACACGGATTTTCTACCATGTTTTAGTCTGTAGACAATGTTCTCACATATCAATGAAAACCACATGAAGAGAAGGCTGTACTCAAAAAAACTAAAATACCAAAAAACAAACAAGAATCACATCCTCAGTTTCACTATACTCTATCAGACCAGAAACCTTTCCAGTCATTACTTCCCAATTAGCATAACTGCCCATCACACACTTGATTATCGTGACAATATGACATCTCAGCAAGATAAGAGAATATTCAAGAACAGCTACCAGGACAAACATTTATTGCAGGCAACATTTTCATAACAAATTAGGTAGTCTAAACATGACATCAATAATAGTGTACAAAGTAGAATTATAGAATCTCTCCAAGTTAGCTGCAGGCATGGTGCAGTTGTCTCGAGAATGAGAGAACGGTATTTTCCTATTAATCAAAGTAAAAATAGCCACTTATAGTTATTCCAATTTTTTCTTGATTTATAGATGGAGAAAGGGGGGGGGGGGGGGGATCCGGCCTCTTTTATGAGGAAATTAACCCTCTTCTCTTCCTGTCCAGAAGCATATAAATTTCACCAATAGAACATACTTTTGTTGAATGCCAGGGGAAATGCAGAGCAAATATCATGAAAGAGGAGATTTGGCATATCATAAACATACATTCCTAAGAATTAATAAAAAAATGTTATGCAACTTACAATTGGTGACAACAGAAAAGAAGCTACTAAATCCTAAATAAAACAGTGAATTCGGACAAACCTGCATATGAAAATGGCACATTAACAGACTGTGGATAGTGAAGATCTTCTGATAGCTTCGACAGGATCAGATCAACTGCTCGCATTTGTTCATCTAAAGTGCCTGTCACGGTCACTAGCCTATCGTTCAACCCATAATAATTATTATCCTGAGGAGATATCTTGATACCGGCTTGGGACTCCTCAATAAATGACCTGATTGTAAGCAAAAAAAACCTTAGCATCACATCTCCTTAAATAGAGCACGGTAGCAACAGGCATCGTATGACCCAAGAAAATGGATTCACAATAATAGAAGTGAAGGAATACAATTAGCAAAATAGTATTAAGTTGACCCTGGCCATCAACGGCCTACGACATCATTGACAAATATCAAGTTTCTTCTTAAGCACCAATAACATGCATGAGTAACGGATATTACATGTCAATCTCTCCTAAAATCAACAACAACAAACAACAACAACTACGATTCTCAGCAAAAGCAGAAGCTGAGAGCAAGGAGTTTCAATAATCCGTGACAATTCAAAGAGAAGCCCCATCAAATTTGGGAGTCCTATAGGGAAAAGAAAAAACAAAAGAGAAAGAGACTGGTCGGAATTCAAAAACGGGAATTTACACAAGTCTACCTGGAAATAACCAGAATGGTCTTTCAAGAGAAATCAAGAAGACATTTAAAGAATTCTCAGAAAACGCAACTGCTTAGGAGGTTTGATTGAGAATGATGCTATAGCTACTAGCCTACTAGCCAGTTCCCAATACAAAAGTAGAAGCTTTAGCTTTACTTCTCCAGTTATTATGAATCCGGCACTTCCAACTAAGCCGAAATTAATATTAGATATCTTAGTAGTGATTTTCCAGTCAGGCCTCAGCTGTTCAGAGTGTGCACATGAACAGTCAACTAGCATATGAACGGTCAACTAACTTCCATATATTTCACTTTCACAGAATCAGTACCACTTAAGCATGTCCAAGTTTCATTCTGTTAATTAGATGGATTCTATCTTCTTCCAGGAATTTGGTCCATGTAAACTCTTACACAAAGGAACACAATGTCATCGTTCAAAAGAAATTTTTGTGCAAAGAGACAGAATTCCTAAATTGAATCTGGCAAACCACCTTCTTCAATTGGCTTCAAAACGATCTCCAGAAAAGCTAAATTGTGGTGCCCAATTGAATATACAAATACAATCAGAGAAGGTCACTGTTAGCGATGTGAATCCATAGCCTTCAAATACTCCAGTTAGAAGACGTGACTTTTTTTTTTTTGGGCTAAAAAGAAGACGTGACTTATGAAAATGGCACGGTCCAAAACTGAATGAGAAAGCCTAGGAGACATGTGAAATCTTTGAGGAACGATACCAAGAATCATAAACAGAACGAAAAATAACGAGAAGATCGATGTGGCAGTGGAAAAAGGCTTTATTGTTATCCAAAATGTTTTTCCTGTTGTGGTACTAGCATATGAATAGAAGAATGATTGACCAGCAGAGCAAGCTCCCTATAAAACAGTATACAAGGGAAATGCCCCTTTTACAAAATCAAGGCCAACTATAAAATCCAAGAATCCAATAACCACTAGTCTCTTGGGTTATTTCAATAATGGAAGAGATACCATAGCATCCTTTGTCAATCCTGCAAATTAGATTGGCAGTTCTCTCAACAGTGAAAACGAAATTGAGTACTCTAGATAAAAACAATCACATGACATAAGCGCCAAAAGAATAGCAAGGGAAAGGCTATCGGGACGATCTCATAAAAGCATAGTAATAAGACGTTATAACACTTTCAAAGGAAATTCAAGTCCAAAGATAAGGAGGAAGAGCACACATACTTTATCGTGGCTCCTCCCTTGCCAATTATGCCACCACAGAAGCTATTTGGAACGATTAGTCTCACTTTTGTTTTTGGATCAACATCATTGCCCTCTTCAAGATGAATCTGACCAATAAAACATGTGCCATTAATCTACAGGTAGAATAGAGCACAGCAGCATTTTCCACTTAATTTACCTCGCTTAGCAATTTCGACAGAATGAGTTCTACTGCCCTCAGCACATCATCAATTTGACCAGATATCATAATAATCCTGTCAGTTGTCCCAGGAAAAAATTCTTGATTACGTGACAACTGAATACGTGCTCCGGACTGTGACTGAAAGTCAGTAATTGTTGAACCACCCTTTCCAATAACTGATCCAGCTGCAGCATTTGACACAAGAAACCTAACATATGTCGGCTTCTCCAAAGAATCTGCCAGCAGTAAGCAAGAAGAGATCTTGATCAACATGATAGAAATATAACAGTTAGGCAAATCAAGCAACTAGTCAAGTTAGATAGTGGAGAAAAAAGATATGATTCTTGGCTTGAAAAATAAGGAAGGGGATAGCATGAACGTGACTGTAAGTCATAGTCCACCATGTCTTTTAGCAACTTCAGCAGTTCGTCTAATTCCAAATTCATCTGACACGTTTTCGGGGGATAAGATCTGACATGCAGCGGCCAAACAGTTCTCCAAATGGAACTCTAAAAACAAGATAGAGAAAGAGGAATGGTGCTAGTGAAGTTCACATCTATTCAACAGATCGGCAGCTTTTTTTCCTACCTCCTAATCAGAGGTACAACATAATTCAATATGTTTCGTCTAGAATGAAAGCACACCATGAAGTTTTCAGCCAAATTTAAGCCCTAAAACAGTTATCTGCTTTAAGTCAAAGGCCTAATATTGACATAAAGAGCATAATCCCACACAGGTGGCTTCAGCCATGAATAATGAAAACTCTTGATGTAAAAGAATGGCATGTGACAAACCCCTCTCTTTATGGTCAAAAAATAAAGCTTAATCAGTTACTTTCGAGGAAATCAACTATAGCCAAAGCAAGGGTACTTAAAAAGTATCACCGAGTTAGAGAGTAAAATTTGTGAGTGCTCAGCAAACAGCTACAGGGATTATTCAGTATCACGTAGAGGCGATAATATATGCGTGAACACGAGTTGCCAGTCATCCCCCAATTACATTAAGATAGGATAGGGCCAATAGATACTAACTTTTGCTATGGGGACGTGAGATCTCCTTAGACCATTGCCACATCCATGTACAATTAAGCACACAAACGAAGAAAGTCATCAAAATTCGCGGCATCAAATACATGAAATCGTTAGGGACATAAGCCGCCCTTTAATTTCCCCCTACTTTGAACCTTTTCTGCGTGCTTCTGCATGAATAATTCGTGCAGTTCCGATAAATCAGAGCACATCAAGCACTACACCCCAAACGGATAAAGGTTGAACGACTCGTGACCGCAAGAGTTTTCTTTCTCTCCCCTACATTCACCTCCGGAGTCAAAAGCAAAGAGCTCAGCTTAGGGTTTAAAACGCGCATCCGCATTTCCACGATCAACGCCAAACAAAAGCACGGCCTCCCTAACCCCCCCCCCCCCCCCTCCCAACCCCAACCGCCATTCAGAACCGCGACATCCGCAAGACGACCGGCACCGCTAAAACCTAACCAAGCCCCCCGCACGGATCGATTTCGCGGAAACAGCCGGAGGAGAGAGCAGATCGGGTCAGCTAAGGAATAGGGAGGGAACAGCACCTGAGGTCGGGGATTTGGGCGGCGGCGGCGAAGACCGCTTCGGCCCGAGCTCCGGCGACGACACGTACGAGGACTCGTTCGACTCCATCCCCTCGTTCCGGCGACGCAGTTTCAGTACCTGCCTATAATCTACAGTATCACAGAGAGAGAGAGAGAGAGAGAGAGAGAGAATGTGAGCTAAAAAGCCAGAAGCAACATTCGAAAATGGCGATGGAAAACGGCAGCAGAAGAAGAAGATGAGGATGATGGAGGAGAAGGTCAAAGCTGAAACGTGCGAACTCACAGAGAGCGAGCGAGAGAGAGAGAGATTGGCAATGGCGTCGGTGCGAATCGGTGGATTTCTGAGCGAGGAAGAGTCGTCGCGGTTTTTCGGTTTTTTCTAATTTCTCTCTAAAACATACACACAAAAAAAAGAGAGAGAGAGAAAAAAAAAGAAAAAGAAAAAAAAGAGGGGAAATATTCAGAGCCGAGCCGAGCTGAGCCGTGGCTGCTTCACTCCCCTATCCTGTAATAGAGAAAACTATCTACTACTCTCATCTGTGGATATTTTGTTCTGTTTTTTTTTTCTGCTTTCGCTTTTTTCGTTTTTCCTGAGAAAATTTTAATTTATAGAAATTGTTTTTTCTTTTCTTTTATTTCGCTGCGAAGATTCCCTCCTCTCTTGCACGTCCCTTCCTCATCACGCGTCTTTCCGCAAGAAGCCCGTCCGAAGTTTTGAGATGGTGCGAGAACATGGTCTCTTTTAGTGTATAAGTTGTTTTTATCTAAAGATTGACTTGTGAGATTACAATGCAACGTGGACAAATTCGGGGGCCAAATGTGCTGGCCACGCAGAATGAACTCGCATCGGACTTTTTCTGTCTTCGATAATGGACCGGATCAAAAGCCGTCGCAATAAAAGATGGCTTGCTGAATTGGGGTCGATGATTTGTGCATAATTGGTAAATGTGCTCGTCGTGTTGGGGATGGAAACGAATCCGTTATTCGATCTAAGGCCTCCCTTGCATTTTTGTGCGACCTAATGTCGTCTAATTTTGATTGTACGATAAAGCAAACACGCGTAATTTCTGTATCTAACCCTACTCGTACTAGTGACCAAAGAAGCTACGGGGATCTTCCACATAACATCATCATCGTCCACTTCTTCCATTAAACTCCTCGACAGCACTTTCAGAAAGAAGAGCCTAAATTTGTTATAGCAAAAGCAAATTCTTACGCATCGTGCCTGGTTTTCATTAATTTTATATTTCAAGAAAACGGGACACTGTGATTAAGCAATTGAAGAATTTATGTACAGCAAGCTCGGTAATCGGACTTGCCATATTCAATTTATGCTTCGTTTGTTTCGAAAAAAATAAATAATTTAATAATTACTTGTATTGCTTGAAATAATTAGTCGATAGAAAAATGTTATCTTTATTGACAACAATTTATGTCTAAATATTACTCGGGACTATGAAAATATTTTCCATTCATATACTATTATAAGCGACACAAGCGATCTTTTTTAGGAAAATATTTCATAAATCCTCCATTTTTCTGCACAACAAACGCAAAAATCGTAATTTTTTCTACACAAAGGAACCGGGCTGAAACCAGCTCATGCGCCGGGCTCAGCTCAAGGAGAAAGCTGGCTGCCTAGCTAGCTTGCCAAAATTGTAGTTCGAGCCTTGTTGGATCAAGCGAGCTAAGCTGGCTACTAGGCCCATTGTCTAGATTTTGGCTAGTGAATGAATGGATAGAAGTAGGCATGAGCATGGTTCTAGGGTGGAATCCGAAATCGAAAACTGGACCAGTGGGAATCGGTCTGGTTCCAGGTTTTGGTGAGTCTTAGTCTAATTCCATTCTTTTAAGAACCTGCGGTTCCCGATTCCCCAAAAAATCGAACTGAGAATCGAGAAAATCATTCGTCAGAGTATTGTCAATGAAAACCATTAAAAATCTGCCTATATAGACGCCTGAAAAGCAAACAATATTGACATAGCATTTTCGTGGCTTAAGTAAAATAAAAACAACTTATTTTGGTTGAAAAATCTATAAGGAACCTAAATGTGTCACATAGGTGCAAATTTAGGGTTTTTTGTCATAAGAAAAAGTTTATGGTAAATGTGTCACATTGAATATAATTTATGTAAAAATGTCACAATGAACATACTTTGGGATGAGCTTGCCGGCACATAAGCCCGGTACCTTTGTGTAGACACAATGAACTTACCGGCGAGTCAAAACTTGGGTAAATATGTTACAAAAAAAAGTTCAGATAAACATGTGACGACAAACATGCTTTTTTTCTTTTTGGTTTTTTTCCAAAAAGAAATTGTTGTTGTTTCAGAAATAGCCAAAATTAGAGACAGGGAGAGGCTACGCCTACCCTCATCCTAGGCCATTGCTTCCCAAGCTAAACGGTGTATAGTATACACTCCAAGGCTGCGTTTGGTCGTCTAGATTTCTAACCAGGATAGGATTAGATATGATAATATATGAAATCCAAGAATTTTGTCATATCCTATCCATTGTTTGGTGAATCGCAGTAATGAAGCCGGATATTTTCATATTTTATCACGTCCATTGTTTGTTATTTACGACATATCAATATAAATGAATATGAAAATGCACAAACGAATATTGTGAAAATCTCTCGGAATTCACTGTCAAATCTAGTAAGAGAGTAAAAATATGATCATTCACTTTTGGGATTATGAAAACATTGAAAAGTATAGTATTTGCACTCCCCCGCTACTTTTGTGAAACTTCAACATAAACCACAAAATTACGGAGGAGTTTTGACTCAGTTGCTGCGTTTGTGGACTTTAGACATAAACCGGAGAGCTACAAATGAGAAGAAACTTAGACTCTCTCGCCATTTTCATAGAACTTTGACGTGAACTAAAAAATACGGAGTCGTGAAGCTTCAACGTGAACTAGAGATACATAAGAGTAGGAGACGAATGAGAATAGGTTTTTTTAGAAATTTCATTGCCTCTCATTTTTCAAGAATTAGAAAGATTCTTCTCAAATTGGAATTTGTTTATTAAAATTTGGGTTCTTCTACGGCCTAATTCCCTAAAAAATCCCCAACTTTAGGTTAAGTCCCAAATCTGCCCAGAACTTTTTTTGTCTCAGAAAAAACCCCAAACTTTAGGTCAAGTCCCAAATCTGCCCCGAACTTTTTTTTATCTCAGAAAAAACCCCAAACTTTAGGTTCAGTTCCAAATCTGCCCCAAATTTTGTTTTATGTAAAAAAAAATCACCAAAATTCAATTTATTTTAAAAAATATACCCCGATGATCCAGTTCCAACTTGACGTGGCATTTCCACGTCGATAATAAATGATTTTATTTGGTTTTATTTTGGAGAATTTCAACAATTTTTATTTGGTTTGATTTGTTGTCGAAGTGAAAATGCAACGTCGGTCTGTTCCTATCGCCCTATTACTTTGCTGATGTTGATTTGTTATGACGTGGAAGTGTCACGTCAAGTTGGGACGGGATCACGAGGTATATTTTTGAAAATAAATTGAAATTTGCTGATTTTTTCTACATAAAACAAAATTCGGGGTAGATTTGGGACTGAATTTAAAGTTTGGGGTTTTTTCCAAGACAAAAAAAAGTTCGGGACAGATTTGGGACTGGACCTAAAGTTTGGGGTTTTTTTCAAGATAAAAAAAGTTTGGGGCAGATTTGGGACTGGACCGAAAATTTAGGGTTTTTCTTAGACAAAAAAAAGTTCGGGGCAGATTTGGGACTTGACCTAACGTTTGGGGTTTTTTAGGGAATTCACTCGTTCTTCTCCCTCATTTTTATTTACTCAATTTTATTTTAATTTTTCCATCTCTTTTAATTTTTTTTATTCCCTTCCATCAGTCCTTTATAAAAATTTTATCAACTTATAAACTATACTATTATACCTAAAATATGTAATAATATAGATATTAAATATATATTATAGAGTAGAAAGAAATTCAATTATGTAAATAATATAGGAATATATAGAAACGAAAATTAGTTTTTTGTTATTCTAAATTATCTTTTTAATATTATAACTCAAATATTATTTATATTTAACTATTAATTTATTTTTATTATTTAACAAGTTTATTTCGAGAAATATATGACAAATCATATCTATCTTTATCCTACCTCTCCTGAAATAATTTTATCTAGACTATATCTCTTTATATCCGATTTTATCCCATCTTGAACCGAAACTAAATACAAGAAAAGATAACATTTATCCTACCGAGAATTTTATTCAGGTTACTAAACGCAGCCCAAGTCTGCATCTCCGCTGACTCCGCTCGCGATGCTGCTGCTTTCAGCTTGAAATTCTAACCACCGCTCGAGCGATCAGCACGCACCCGCTCTCCACCGGAAATGGCGGCGGCGGCGGCGGCGGCGGCGACGGGCTCCGCTTCTCCCCCCTCCCTCGCCTTCTCCCCCGCCTCCGGCCGGCGCGCGAGCCCCCGGAACCTCCTCTCCTTCCGACACGCCCTCCGCCTCGCTTCCTCCGACGGCGGCGGCGGCTCCGGCTCATCCTCGTCCCGACCTCCTCCGCTCCGCGTCTCGGCGAGCTCCAGCCCTAAGGCCCGGTTCGTCGCCCGGAGGAAAGAGTCCGTCTCCGTCAGGCAGCTGGACCGGGCCTTGAGTAAGTGATAGTTGGAGATAGTTTCTTTTCAGTTGGTTTCTGATTTTGATGCCGGCGTGCGTGTCGTTGGATTAGTCGTGGTAGTTCCGTGATTGGTGTTAGGGGTTTTGTAGGTGACTACATGAGCTTGCCGGCGAGCCAGTACTCGGTGTTGGACGCGGAGAGGATCGAGAGAGTGGATGAGAACACGTTCCGGTGCTACGTGTATAGGTTCAAGTTCTTCGCGTTCGAGGTGTGCCCTGTTTTGCTGGTCAGGGTGGAAGAGCAGCCCAATGGCTGTTGCATTGAGCTATTGTCGTGCAAGGTGTGTGCTCCCTGTTGTGTGTTAATGTCTGATTTGATTGGTTTGTTCAACGTGTGATTTGCGTGCGCAATTGAGACGAGATTTGCTTGGAAATGCAAATTTCGAGCCATGAAAATTTGACACCGGCCAAGTAGGTTCCATACTGACTCGTGTACACGTTTGAAGTTGTGGTTCTTAAGTACGGCATTTGGTTGTAATGCGGTCTTTTTTCTCTGTTGGCAGCTTGAGGGCTCGCCAATTGTTGCTGCTCAGAACGATAAATTTGACGGTAAGATGTTTCTCGGTTTTATGTTTCAACTTCAACAAATTTGAAGTGCTTTTGGGTTATAAATCACTTGAATCTTGACTATTTTCGGTCAATTTTGGTTGAAAGTTAGCTCAGCAGAAGATTGCCTGATTTGCCACTTCTTATGTGATCAACATGATAAGAGTGCAATTGTAATTCTGCATAAATTAACTTGTCCTCTTGGTTATTTTTTATCTGTGCCTCAATTGCATCTCTTATGTGTACTCTAGAAATGGATGTCAACCATTTCAAAGAAGAAGTTACTCATCATTAGCAATCTGTCGTGTTCTTTCCACCGAGGAGCATGTTCACGACTTGATTGTCATGTTCCGATTTTTCGTGCAACTTTGTTTTGCTTAAACTGTGAGAACTTTATTGAAAATTACCATCAGATATGGCAATTTATATGGGCAACTCTGTTTGCTTAATTGGCATTTCTTGTGTTGTTCTCGGTTAGCAATCTGTTTCGTTTGGTTTCTTTATCCAAAAACTGCAAAAGCAATGAATGGCCTCTCTAAATTTAGGTATACATGCTTTTTTCCAGGAGAACTTTGACACTGATTTCGTATGGGCATGCAGCTTCTATGGTGAACCGAATATCATGTGATAGCAATCAAAGGACGTCATCACTGCAGCAACTCACTTCAGACACAACTATTGAGGTGCTTCTACCATATTTCCTTTCTAGTAGTAACATTATATTGTCTTGCAGACTCTTGAAAGAATACTTACAGACGCTTAAAATAAAACTTCAAATTGTTGCCAAAAACAGGTCAGCATTGACATCCCTTTTGCATTTCGAGCTATTCCAGTGCAAGCCATTGAATCAAGTGGCACTCAAATTCTCGAGCAAATACTCAGGATCATGCTTCCACGCTTTATGACCCAGGTTTTGATTTATTACTGCCTGTAAAAGTTTCTCTTAACTTCCATCAAACTGCTTCAGGATGAGTGCAATGGCACTACTATGTGCCTTTCTGATTATGCCAAAAATCGAGGTGCTTGTTTCAAATGATTGAAAATGCTTGGGAACTAGGAGTACGTGATACTATTGCCTCCTTTGAGAGTAATGGAAAGCATCCGTGTGGTTTACTAATTGCAGTGTGTGCCTTTGGAACTTTACAATTTTCCAAGGATTGAAGTGAACTGATTGATGGAGTCATCAATCATTGCCTGCAGACATTAATGAATTGCTTAGCTTTTTGCAACATTGCTGAGAAAATGAAATGAGAATCGAACACCTTGATAATCTGGCTAAGAGAAATGCCAAAGCTCCCCTTTAAAACTGCTTAATTATCCAGCTGAGGAGCTAAAGCCTAAAGAAACACTAGCTGTGATCATTGAGGCTTTTGTTATGGTAGCACTATGTCGCTTGTCAACAAATATCGCGATTATTAACTTTCTGAGATAAGTACCTACACAATATTGGTATGCTCGCGATAGATTAAGGACTCGCTATTTATCCATGGAATCAGAAGAGGAGCTTACAGTTACTCTACTCAGAGTGTGAGCAGTAGTTATATGCTCTTAAATAATCTTTGCTTTTAGACTAGTCTTTAGATTCGCTTCAACCCTAGTCTCCTCGCTTTGAACTGGTTAGAAAAGGCTGCAGTATAAGGAGTACAGATTTGCCAGGATCTAGAAGTTAAATTGTAAGCGCTACTGGCTTATCTTTTTAGTCTCTAAATCCATAGAAATTACCTTCTTTCTGGCCTATAAATACTGAGATGTTCACTTGAAGTCTCTTGGTTAAGAATGGCGGGAAAATCATAGTTATCACCAGATACGCCGAGCGTAACTTTTTCTTATGAGCATGTCTAAACTATGATCCAATGAAATTTATGGTTGCTTTATCCCCTCACTGGAATATTTATCTGCGAGTTTGTTTTCAAGACAAGCTTTTTTATGAGATCTCTCTCCATAAGAATTATTACTCCTTCATATCGGCTCGCCACTGCCTCCTGGACAGGATAATTTAATGAAACTTTTGGGTCACTTGCTTTTTGCTTTTCTCTTAATTTAAATGTCTTGTTTTTTCCTGTACTCATGTGCTCGTCTTCTTGTGTAGCTTGTGAAAGATTATCAAGCATGGGCTACTGGTGACACCTCAAGGCAGCCTCTTGGAACTGGTAAAATCTGAATGGTAGAAGGCTGCACATGCTACTGTTTCTGTTGATAACTTGGCTGCCTATGTGAGTCAAGCACAGGTTGCCAGTCCCATAGGATCCAACAGTCGCTCTGGTTTAGTATATGCAATTTTTTTTGTTAGTTCATAAGGCTAGCCATCGAAATTAGTGCAAGCGACTCGTGTATAGCGTTGTTCTAGCTTTTCTTTGGACATTCACATGGATTATGCTTCACTTGTTTCGTAGAACGCAGTCATTGAAATTGCAGTATGTTGCAAAAGCTGTTTGAATCAGGCCCTCCTGTATCCTGGCGTTGCACTTGCATCTCATCTCCGCTTTCTTCTACTCCATTTGGTTATTCAATTGGATAAGTTATTTGAGTTTTCTGGCACTTAGACTGACAAAGGATTAAAATATGGCATGATGGATGTAATTTTATTACCCTGCAACCGCCTCAGAGGAGACAAAAGGCAAATTGTATCTTAATTTTGCTGTGTGGATAGAACATTCTACGTCACTTCTTGAATTTACATTTAACTTTGGAAGGAAAATGAGTCGAGTTCTGCTTCTAAAAGTTTCTTTATGATGATATGTTGGCATAAACTGAGTGCATTGATGATCATAGCCAGATCCCATTGGTCTCAACAGTTCTAGGATATGTCTTAGTTCCAAAAGTTGCTGGGAAAAGTGTTGAAAAAGTCCTAAACCTTTTGCATTGGTGCCAATTTAGTCATAAACCTTTTTTTGGTGCCAATTCAGTCCTAAACCTTTTGTCTTTGTGCCAATTCAGTCCTAAACCTTTTGTCTTTGTGCCTATTCAGTCCATCGGGCTAATTTTGATAGGATTTTGCTAACGTGGACGCCGATCGGCTTACGTAGCAATGCCGGCGATGATATTGACAACTTTTAATGATATTTTAATTTTTTTCGATTTATTTTAATTTTTTTCTTTTCTTTTTTTTTCTTTTCCTTTCTTCTTCCTCCAGCCGGTCGCCGGACTGGCGACCGGCTGGAGGCCAGCGCCGGCGAGGCTCACCCGCGACCTCACAGCCACTAGGGCTTGAGCCCTTGCCCATGGCCGGCAGGGTTTGACCCACGCCAACCCAACGTGAGGCCACCCTCGGGACCATTCGACCTTGCCAGATGGTCACGAGGGCGGCCTCGCACTGGGCTGGCGAGGGTCGAGCCACGCCGGCCATGGGCGAGGCCTGACCTCGCCATATCGGGCGATGTCGTGCCTTTCCCAGCTGCTGGCAAAGGCCGCAAGGTCAAAGGCCGCGGCCACTGGTGAGGGCAAGGCGTGCCTCGCCAGCGGCTAGCAGGGCTCACCAGAGGCCGGCCCTGGCCTCCAATGGTCGCCGGATTGGTTGGAGGAAGAAGAAAGGAAAAGAAAAAAAAATCGAAAAAAATTAAAATATTATTAAAAGTTGTTTATGTTATTGCCGGCGGTGCTACATAAGCCAACCGACGTCCACGTCAGTAAAATCCTGTCAAAATTAGTCGGAAGGACTAAATTGGTACAAAGATAAAAGGTTTAGGACTGAATTGGCAAAAAAAAAAGTTTAGAACTAAATTAGCACAAATGCAAGATGTTTAGTACTTTTCTGACACTTTTCCCAAAAGTTGCTAAACGATGCACGGTCACTTTTGCTTTTCCTCCTCCCAAACGGTCACTTTTGCTTTTCCTCCTCCCAAGCAGAAGTGAGCGCTTTTCCGTCTGCATATACTTCTTACCGTAATCCATCGATGTGCGACGGACCACAATTACATGATCCTTATACAATAGAAGTTTATATGAATATATGATGCTGTTGATTACGTCCTGAGATGAGATAAGAACAACGGCAGATTGTCTGTCGACTCTGGTAATATCTCTTCCATGAACAGGGAAATGTTCCGACAGAAGGCTTTGGATTTCATGAAATGACGTTAAACGAATTAGGATGCATAAAATTGATTGTGGATGCTTTATCTTCTATTGATTCCATTTGACTTTTCACGATGACCCGACTTCTAGCTCAGGTTAATTACCCATCTCTTTTACATTGTGTTACGGTGCCTAAAAGGCATGGCGCAGTATTGCACGATGCCAGGGTTCTATTCGCTGTAAAACTAATAGTCACTCTTGTTCAATGAGCTTGACTGTCAATCATATATCATATAACTTATTAATTGATCTCTTGGATGCAGAGTACAGTACCATAATCTCATCGAAAAATCGGTTTCATATTCAATCAACTACTCTTAATTTGGCTCGTCTGGAGACCCGTTGAAGTTTACCGAATAAGGATTTGTCGCAATTAGAACTCATAATCATGGATAAACCATGAGGTGACGGCTGTGGGAATACATGGAACACGACACCGGAATTGCAACGAAGTGAGATCGCTGATGACGTTGATGGCATGTGAACAATGAGGTCGTCCCATGATCCCTTTTAAGTTGTCAAATAGTTTTCTCCTCTTTCTACAGTGTCCTTCAGTTGAGTTGTCCGATTCCATTTGTTACGGCATCACATCAGCATTGCCCATTTCCTTTGAATTGTTCGTATTTAGGGAAATAGGAAGAAAGATAAGGGGATAGCAACGTCCGAAACGACACGTGAAAAGGATACTGGAGGTTGCAACAAAAGAGGAACCGCGCATCTTTCTTTTTTCTGTTTATTTACTTGCCCTAGTAAGACCTGTAAAAACTTGACTCTTGGATCGATAAAGAGTCCACTAGTATCAAGAATGTATCCATATGCACCGTTAACGAGAATGACATAAATAATTCCTGAACTTTGATCTAATATGTAATGTGGGTCCATAAACTTTTAATTTGTTCAATGTGACCCCTAAACTTTACCTAAATGTACAATGTGGTCCATAAACTTTTGATACATATTCAATTTAGTTTCTGGACTATATGAAAATGTTCAATATTGTATTTGCATTATATGAAAATGTTCAATGGAATGACGATATTGAACATAACATATAGTCCAAGGACTAAAATGAACATGTTCCAAAAGTTAATGGACCACATTAAACAATTTAAAGTTCAAGGACGGCATTGCACATTGGGATAAAGTTCAAGAACCGCATTGAATAAATTTAAAAGTTTAGGGATCACACTATACATTTGACTGAAGTTCGGAGACTATTTATGTCATTTTCCCTACATACTAATGTAGATATACTAAGTTTAGTGGCTTACAAAATCGTTATAATGAATGATGCGACGAATTACAAGTGAGCTCAACACTCAATAATAGTCTGTCGCACCACTTAATACACAAACACTTCGGATCGATTCAAGGAGCTTTATTCGACGGATACAAGTGTGTCTAGATCATGTTATCTTCGACGGGGCATTCTTCGTCTGGACGAGGATGAGCATGTTCCCTCCATCGGTTCGATATATCCAAAAACATCTTTACCACAACTCTACATTACAATTTTGCACTGTCGTTCATTCGCATCACATACATCGACTAAAATTTGATAGTGCTCTAATTGACAGCATCACCCTAATAACCTCGAATCGACTAAGGAAGATGGCATCATCTAGCTCCTAAATCAAGCTTGATCTCCGGAATCGCTCAGCCTTTCTTCTTCTTCCCTTCATTACGAATTCCCATGGACAAATAAACCAAAAAAGAAACTAAAACTCTAGGAAAAAGGGGGAAAAAAACTGGTTGAAATTATAATCTTGCAGCATAGGATTCTGATCAATCACATATATCTATCCCCCACCTGGGAGACTCAAAAAACTCGAGAGAAGATCAAGATAAGCGAAGCGAGACGTGGCCTGTCCCCTAAAGAAGCCGCCATTACCGACCAAAGATCACAGACATATCGAGCAAATATTCCCGTGAACACACGCAGCTCCAAGAGTAGAAACAACAGATCCCGGTTCAAAAGGGGGGCGACCTCTCTTGGCTTCTTGGAGATGGAGCCTTTCTTCAGGAAACCCTAGAAGAGTTCCCCACGAAGCTGCGAGACAGCTTTTTTCTCTGCATGGGGATGAACAAGAGAGAGGGATGAATCATCATGGAGAGGTGACGGGAAACCTAACATGGCTGCATGCCACCGCTTCTCGCATCCCGATTCGTTCTTTGTCATAACTCCCGTGGACACACGCATATCATTGTCCTCGGATTTGGCGGTTCGTGCGTGCGATCTTCTCGTTTATCTCATCCTTGTATTATTCTATGTTCTTCTGTATTGATTGGTTCAGATGGATATGACTTGTTGAGATGATGTTGACTTTCACGTGGAGCTTCAATAGTCCTTCATTCGTACCTATTTGTGCCTATGCAATTGGCCTTTTCTATGCTTTTTATGTGCGTTTAATATAAATATAAATATAAATATATATTTTATTCATACCTTTTCAACCATTTGTGAAAATTATATATAACACATCTAGAAACTAAACGATCTACGATTTTATATTGTTAGAATTCTCTTCTCCTCATTACAAAATTAGTTTTTTTTATTTATCAGGTGTATTCCTAGACTTTAGAACTCCTCTATGAATAGCTTGGCGGGTATGTAATGGGCACACTTGGAGAAACCCCATAAACTCCCCTATTCAGAGGAGGGGAGTTTTGAACTCCCCACCTCCCTGTGGAAACGGTAGCCACTAGGGCAAATCCTCGGTGGTTATCTCTTAATTATTTCTCTTTATAATGAGTTTATATTGTAGGATTTTTTTGTCGAAAGAAAATTGTATCCATTGCTCAAAATGATACATGAGATGTACATAAATTTTCATAGTAAAGCAAATTGAAGCAGAGCAAAGCCTAAAATACCAAAAAACAAAGCAAAATCCAGATAACGAAGAGGATCAATAAAGTACTAACATGGTTAAGCACACACCCATTTTATAAGAACTGATCTGTCAACTAAAATAATCAGCGGTCGATCATTAGATCTCGTATCATCGTAAGTGATGAGCAAACTATGAAAATTCATTCTCCAATTATTACGGCGTTGCCAATTGGCGGTGCGCGCCTAGGCTTGGATTCCTCTACACAATTGCCGTACAGAGACAACTAAGACAGGTTGAACAAACACAAATCTAACATTTGGAAGAGCAAATCTTCGTAGTTTAGTTGATAAGCTATGCTATTCATTGATTCACTTTGTTGTGAGTTCTGTTATGATTTATTATCGGTCACAAACCATTTTCTTTGTTTTCATTGACTCGATAAGACAATATGCATTGAAAAATCCACATTAGCTTTGTTTCAAGTACTCCTCACACAATTATATTCAATAAGTACATCTAAAACACCCAACGTTGATTGATTCATATAATATCGAAATATTATCTTCTCAAGTACTAATGAGATTGTCTTATTAAGCAAGCCAAAATTTCATTGGTGAGATAAAACTTCTAATCTCGCTTCATTGTCCCTTACAGTTTCATGTTCTCAAATTACTTGTCCTCTTCTACACTTTCATGTCTCTGGTTTGATTGCCTTGGAGTTATGCATACAGCTATAGCTTAACAATAGAAATCGGCACTTATTTCCTCATTCGCCTCTTATACGGCGCGTCGGTTGTGTAATTATTCTTACACAAATCATTTTTTGACCATTGATTTAGTTAGTTAATTAATAATTACACACATAACTACATATATTGTCGGTGAGAGAGGTAACACGTACAAAGCAAAAAAACATTCTTTAATTCCGCCCCCTGTGATACTAACGTCCCTACTCCTCAATCTCTTTACCATTAGGGTCGCACGCCTATTGGCAATATAATGAGATTCAAATAGTTGGATCAGGGCCGCACGCCTATTGCCTAAAACCCAAAAACCCTTAATAACTCTGATTTGATCATGGCTCCAAGTTGGCATTTTTATAAACCTGAGAAGCTTATCTTTCTTTTTCTTTCTTTTTCTAGCCATAATAAAATAATATATTTTAGGAATTTTTAAGCCCCATATAAATCCAGTGGCTCCACACAAGAAGATGCAAAGATTATACACCATAGAAAATCTATCCACACATCTAATTAACAATTATTGCTTCTTTCGCACGCTTCCTTTCTTGCCAATCTCAATCAAAAAGAGTAACGAAAAAGGAAAGGGTAGATTTAATTACGCATCAATTATGCGGTGGTCTCTTTTCAAACCCGAGGAAAAAAGTGCATTAACAATGTGTGTGTGTTTATATATACGTATAAATATGTATATATATCAATATAGGTGCATGACCTTAGCGTGTAAAGCATTGACAAAGTAGAAAGGCCAATTAATAAAACAAAAAACCCCTTTTCAACTGCTGAGAAGTCATGATCTCAAAGTAATTATTAACCAGTAATTATCTCTTTTTCTTGTTATTTTATTAAAAAAATATATGTAAAGCGATGAGACGATGCATGTTTCGAGATTATAATATAAATAAATTAATGACCCCCAATAGTGCCTCCAATGTGTCACTATCGCAAATGGAACGCCTCATCTAGACCGCGGCCAATAGTATTTTTCTAATTAAATTAATTACTAAACCATTAGAATAATGGTATTGATGATGACATTCTTTTGATTTCTCCAGGGGGGGTAAAAAAGAGCAGCAGGGCTTAACGAATCCGTGCCCTCCAATCACGAAAGAGACATGATTATAAATTATTGTTTGTATTATTATGGAGCATATAGTATAAGATTAGATTAAAGTTACCCCCTTTTTTTTCGTGTCCTATTAGAAAAAAGGTTAAGATAAATTTAATCATGAAAGCCACTAAAGGTGGGATTGTACTGATTGAAAATGTTCACATGCAATGCAATTTTGGCACTTGGTCTCGGAACTTGCACTGGGGGGTAGAAAGGTTGATCTGGTCACATGACCCACTATTAGTTGCCACGTGGAAATTGAAAAGAATAGTGACTTATTTTAATATATATTCGAAGGATAAGTTAAATCAATAGAAGGAAATAGAGGTTAGCTTCTGTAATCTCTACATAGGCGTGATCATTGTGTACATGGGTCAACAGACATTTTGTCTTCTGAATGATGTATTTTTGCCCTCTGTCCTTATTCGTTGGGTAGAAACCTCGATCGTGGGTGAACTTGCATTTGCCAAAAAAGCTTTTTATTTATTTTTATCTTCAACTTTAAAAATCAACGTTTTAACTCTCGACGGTCATCTGAATTTGAGTGAAAAACAAGATATTGTGCGCGATGTGTGGTTGAATGTGCATGCCCTACAATTGTTAGCCTCAATTTTCATCCGCACGACGATGCATCAATTGTCTGTTTGGCAATTTTTTTTTTCCATTTCACCTTTAGTATTCTCTCTTTTTTCGATCATTTAATAGGAGGTAAAAACATTTTCTCACTCACCAATTAATTTTTCCCTATTTAAACTCGGGTTGTTGAGAATGTCGACATTCTATTTGTTCATTCCATTTTTTTCATTTAATTTTCGAGCCAAGCATTCGCTGTTTTTCTTCGCGTGGAGGGCAATTTTTGGACGGGGAAAATATTCGAAAAAGGAGCGGGGGGGAAAAATCGGGAACGTGTACAGGATTACGGCGAACGATACGTACATGTCCTAAATAAAGCGGGCCACGTGGCAATACCTAATTCGACGAAGCCCGCTAGACGCGAGCGGCGCCGACGTGGCAGTCCCTCCTCATCTCTCTCTCTCTCTCTCTCTCTCCTCTCAGGTAAAATTTTCCCCTCAAGCTTTTATATAATGGCGACACGATTCAATTGATTTGATCTCTGGTTTTTCATGTTCTAAAAACCTAAAAATCTCTCCTTTTCCTTAACTTAATCACAATCTCCATTCATCTTCTCCTTCCTCTTCTTCTTCTTCGGCCTCGGCATCTTCCATTGGCTTGTCGGTTCCGTTTCCTCTCGCTGCGGCGACGACGCGGATAGGGGGAGCTTCGCAGGTACGCTTCCATTCCGCTCCGCCATCAATCGGTTCTTTTCGTCTGCTCGATCACCGACGCGATGCGGCAATTCGGGATTCGGTCGCGTTTCCGGATTCCGGGTTCCCGATTCGAATGTAATGTGTGTTTTTGACGCCGGTGGTTTTTTGTCAGGTGAGGTGCCCCGCCACTCGTTGTCATACTCCTCGTTCTGATTAGGGCATACTGTTTCTGATGATTTTTTATTTCCGGGGTTCGCTTTGGAGCGCGATTGTAACCATTTTGTTTTCTGCGGATGGATGAGCGCTTTTTTTCTTTTCTGTGAATTGTACAACTTCCTTTTTTGGAATTGCGAAATGAAGGGTTTCGGGCAAAAATGTTTTTTTCCGGAAGGGGACGTGTTATAGGTTGTAGCTGGGGCGTGTGGCGGTAGCGAAGGCTAGGATAGGGTGAAAGATGACTGATTTTCAACCGCTTCAGCAAAAGCCCGAGTCGACCGGCGATGTTTGTTCCGAATTCGAGCGCGGGCTGGAGGAGCTCATGCGGGGTCACTTGGACGACTGTATGTCGTTTGCCTCGTGTAGCTCGACGCGAACGCCCGACGAGGAAGATGACGAGGGCGACCAGTTGGTGAGGCGGAGACGGAGATCCGAGCTCGAGGGCGATGACCTGGCTGAGTCCTCGGCTGCAAGGAGGCGCCATTCGCGCATTTTGAGCAGGTGGGCTGCTAGACAAGCCCAGGAAATGATCACGACCATCGAGAGGAGAAATAGGGAGTCTGAGTTAATGGCATTGGCTGGTTTGCAGACCGTATCGATGCTTGATGCGTCGTTCCTCAGGGAGTCTCAGTCACCGACTTCCCTGAGGCAAGGTGCTGCGGAGCAGCCGAACACTCGGGCTTCGTCTATTTTGCAGATGTGGAGGGAATTGGAGGACGAGCAGTTGCTGAGTCGGGCCAGAGAAAGGGTGAGGGAGAGATTGAGGCAGCGGAGGAGTGTTGAGCCTAACACAAATTTGTCCAGCACCAATATGTCTGAGAGTAGGGGCACTGAGATTCAGGGAAGTGTTGGGGATGTGAGTGAGAGTGAGAATGAGTATGGTACTTGGTCGCATGATCAGACACAAAATGAACCTCGGGATGATAATGGGTCAAGTAGGGAGCAGTCTCCCGATCTTGGTGAGGTTGAGAGGGAGAGAGTGAGGCAGATTGTCCGGGGATGGATGGAGAGTGGGATTGGTGACCATTCTTCAAATGGCAATCACAGAGACAACAGATCGCGAGCAGAATGGCTTGGTGAAACAGAGCGCGAAAGGGTGAGAATTGTTAGAGAGTGGGTGCAAATGGCTAGTCAGAGAAGGGATGCTCGTGGTAGCCGGAGGGAAGAGCAGGAAGAGGGAGCAAGACAAGGTACTCAAGGTGATGGAGTTCGTGAAGGTTCTGTTGCTGACACCGAGGATGGTCAACCAGAGCATATTCGGCGGGACATGCTCCGTTTGCGTGGAAGACAAGCCCTGATTGATTTGCTCATGAGAGTTGAGAGGGAACGACAAAGAGAACTTCAAAATTTGGTGGAGCATCGGGCTGTATCTGATTTCGCTCACCGTAATCGTATTCAGGTCAGTGGCTTGGTAGTGAATTTCTGGTTTTGCTTTTATGTATGTGTACGAGCTTTTCCTGCTTTAAAGCCAGTTAGTCTGCCATAAATTCTTCTGACCAGTTCATGTCATAAGGCTTCCTTGTTGGCCACTGGTCTTTTCTTTTGCTAAGATATTATCCATTTGGCCGCAGCATGGGGTTGTTCATGTTTAAATTTCCTTTTTCGTGCTTGTCATGATTTACCCTAAGTTTGTTTTTCATGCATTGCCAAGAGTCATAAATTGCGAGTCGAATTAAATTGAGATGATTGATCTAGATTGGATAGTTATCTCTGAGTATTTCCAGTTCTGAGGTCCTCATAAGTGCTGCAACGCAGAGAATTGTTGTGGGTTGGAAGATATCTTTCGGAAGAGTTGTAATGGAATCGTAATATTGCCTTTTAGCTCCTTCTTGTACAATTAATTGCAATTTCGCTGGCATTTTGTGCCTTTGAATTGTTATAGTTTAATGTTTTCAGTCACTACTACGAGGGCGATTTTTGCGAAATGAAAGAACGGTTGAAGAAGAAAGGCCTCCTTCTATGGCAGCAAGTGAATTGGTACAGTTGCGACAACGACATACTGTTTCCGGTTTAAGGTAGGACATCTTTCTGAAAATGTTTAGGAAGCTTCAAGTTTTGTTATTATTCATTTTCAGTTAGGTTACAAAGCTGTTGGCAATGCTTGTGAGTTGACGACCTTTCCTTCTTAGATTCCATAATAACTATCTTGCTTATAGAGAGATGAAAGTTTGTACAGTGCTGTTCTTTTTCTCCCAAGTGGAATATAAATACATTCAATTTACAGTTTAGCCAATAGCCATTCCTTTGCTTTCAACTTCTATGAGAAGTTTGATCATTAAACAAGAAACATGGAGGGGAAGTGAAATTCTGGAAAAACATAAAAGTTTGAACTACAAAATAATGTTCTAACACAGTTTTAGAGATCATAAACTCAGAAAAGGAGTAGGATGTCTAGATAACCCAGCCTTTTGGTTCATTCTGCTTCTCCTTCTGTGATACTAGAATTCTGATCTTAAATTTTAATGAAAGTTTTTAATTTCAGAGCAATGGAGTATCATAATAAAATGCACAGTTAGTGGCATCTTCCTAAGATTGTCTGTGTTTTTACTCTTATTGGCTTTATGTAATATGAAAGAGTGCTTTCTATTTTGATTTTCTCCCCTAAGATGACCCTAGAGATGAAAAAGAGAAATTTCGTTGGCTGTAAGGATTTTTAAGTGATTGCCACATTCTTCATCGCTATTCAGGATTATTTTTCTTCTTTTTGGTAAAAGGATGTCGGTACTGTTATTAGTCTTTTGATGAATTTATCAAGTTTTAATCCATCCTCGGTTCCTCTCCTCATTAGGGAAGGCTTCCGTTCGAGACTAGAAACTATTGTTCGTGGTCAGGCTAATACTCAGTCTGATTCTGCATCTGTTGATGTTGATGATGAGTCCAGGAATGTGAGGACTCCTGGAACTTCACTGGATGGTCAACAAGAAACCCACGAACCGTTACAATCCACTAGCCAGGCAAATGATAGTAACCGATCATTGGATCGAGCAAGAAACAACGAAAACAATGCAGGTGCTGAAGGTGTGAATTGGCAGGATACATCTAATGAAAGTGGCAACTGGGAACAGAATTTGGCTGGTGAGAGGGGAGAAGGGCAACAACAAACTGCTGCACAATTTAATGAGTTTAGGGATGATAACATTGCTGATATGGAGTTTAGGGATGATAATATTGCTGATATGGATGGCAATTGGCCCACAAATTCAGCCAATGACTGGGCTCGTGAAGCTCCAACAAATTTGGGGGAACAATACCTGCAGCAAACTCAGGGCATATGGCATGATGTTGGTGGCCCTCACGAAGCAGTGGGAATGTGGCCAGAAGGGTCTTCTGGTCCTTCTAGAGCACGGCGTGCTGGTCCTCTCAGAAGGTATAATAGATTCCATCCTCCTGATGACGATAACGTTTACAGCATGGAGCTCAGGGAACTTTTGAGCAGGTACAAATATTTTATTGGCTATTTGATCCATTAGGCTTAAGGACCTTTTGTACTCGGTGAAATCTAATATCCTTTAAAATGCAGGAGGAGTGTTTCGAATCTTCTGCGCAGTGGTTTCCGTGAAAGCTTGGATCAGCTGATACAATCATATGTGGAAAGGCAAGGTCGTGCTCCCATTGAATGGGATTTGCAAAGAAATCTGCCTGCTCCAACTCCAACTCCTGCCTCTCCTAGTCAAGATCAAGAGTTACAGACAGATCAAGCAGATGTAACTAACAGACCTCCAAGAGTTCTTCCAGGACCATCAATACCCGCACCACAGCCACTGTGGCATCAGGATCTACACCATACTGGATGGTCTCGCCACAGCATGCATCGACCAGAAATTGTGAGTTCTTTTGATATCTATAATCATGTGGTATTAACCTTATCAAAGCACGGTGGCATTATGTTGCTCATTCCAATCGGTGGGATTTTTTGGAGTATGATGTCGATAGAAACTTAATCTTGATGTTTTTACCCTTCTGGCTGAAATTATAACCTTGAAATTCATTAGTTGTCACGGGGATAGGGTACTCAGTTGTTCTTTTGGTAGAGATGCTTAATGCGACTAATTGTTCACTGGATAGTGGCACTGAAACATCTGGTGTTGCTCAAGAACTCTCGACTCTGTTTCAAAGGCAGTCATTTGTTATTTTGTACTAATGCTATGCTTGGAATAGGGATCAGTTTTCCTCGTCACTTAATTAGCTTCCCTGTTTGAGGGGTGGTATTATGCAATGCTTTAATGTGGAAACTGGGGGTAAAATCTTTAGCTGATTGAAAAATTGCTGTTGTATGGATGCTTTGCTGTAAGCACTATCGTTTCCATTAGGCATGCAATAGTGAAATCTCAACTGACTTCAAATTATTGGTTGGTGTAGGAATGGGAGATGATCAATGATCTTAGAACAGACATGTCTCGCCTGCAGCAAGGCATGAGCCACATGCAAAGGATGTTGGAAGCCTGCATGGATATGCAGCTTGAGTTGCAGCGATCTGTGAGACAGGAAGTCTCAGCAGCTTTAAATCGATTTGCTGGTGATAAAGGTCTAATTTTTGCATTGGAATCGCCATTCTTTAATTTTTGTTTAAATTTTTTTAAGTAGCTATTGCCTGATTATATTTGAATATATGACCATCGCTTTTGATTTGATAGTCATGGAGTTATCTATCGTCCCGATGGTTGAGGCCTGTGGTTTGGTTCTTACATCTTACTAGTCAACACAACATGAATATTGCAGGTTTGGGTCCTGAGACATCAGAAGACGGGTCTAGATGGGCTCATGTGAGGAAAGGAACTTGTTGTGTTTGCTGTGACAGCCACATTGATTCCCTCTTGTACAGGTATGCTGGCTTTGCCTATTCTTTTCCAATGGTTGTGCTTTTACACGGGAACTGCATACCCAATATTTCTTTAGGGAGAGATCACATATGTTGCTCACTGATTTACTCATTTGATGGGATTAACTTTTGCAGATGTGGGCACATGTGCACTTGTTTGAAATGCGCAAATGAATTGGTTCGTGGTGGAGGGAAGTGCCCTCTTTGTAGAGCTCCGATCGTTGAGGTTGTTCGAGCATACTCCATACTGTAAGCAGTTGACAGACGTGAAAGAAAGTGTCCAAGAGAACCTGGAATCCGGAGGGTAAGACCAGTAGAGCCATGTCCAGTTTCTTTTGGATGAAGCAGTGCTCCGAGAATGTTGGCATATTCACTTATTTATTGCTGTTCTCCTGATTATATGTTGAACGCTTCTCAGTGTATAATTGGAAACAAGAAAATGGCATCGCCAATTCATCATTCATGTGTAAATAAAATGTCAAATCTTTCCCCTCTTATCAACTTCTTTCCCCAAAAAAGATGAGAAAGATTCAGATGTTCGGTGATTTCAGTACTACCGTAGCTTAAAAGTGATTAAGAAAGGCCATGATCGGTTGTCCAAATTTGAACAATCTGAGCATGGTCTACTTCAGTTACTAAGGCCTATAGGCATTCCACTTGTAAACCCGAAAGAGTGGAAATTTCTTCTCTGGACTCATGTATACTGGATGGGGGAGTTGCATCTGTTGATTTTGTGAGGTTCTCATGGGCTCCACATGTAGGTCCAGTGGACCCGGGTGCTTGCAAGGTATTCCCCGAAAATTACTGCGAAAATTGTATATCTAATATTAAGCGAATGTTCCTCTGTGGTACAGTTGAACACCGTTTGTATATTTGCATAATGAACAGATTTAAAGTTTGATCGACTACTCGAATTTTCTCACTTTGTTATCATGTAGAGGAAACATTGACAATGATGATGCCAAAACATGGATTTGGAGAATGAAGTCTGCGTTATGCTACAATTGAATTGCAATTTGCCAACTTACATATATCACCGTCACTGTGGGACTTCAAACTATAACAACAGAAGGAAACTGTCTCTAGAACTCTCCTGTAATCTCTTCTATACCTTACTAATGCACTGTTCCTATACATGTATCTATTTGTTATCCTGAACAAATGCTACATCAATTGTTTCCTTGTATGTGAAGAAATTGTGTTAACCTGGTGACTATGAATACTTGATCCAAAATTAGCAGCAAATGGGTCAAGAGAGAGGACAAACTTCACCCAAAAGCACGTTCCTGGCTTAGTTCATTTCGGCATTTCTTGCCTTGAGTTTCATCACGAGCTCCTCGCGCTGAGCCTCTGCCTCTGCATATCTGAGGCTCATGTGCAGGTAGCTCTCCCGTAAATGTATCAACTCTTCCTCAAGTGATGATTTGTCCTGCCCCGGTTGTATCTCCAGCAATGCATCTTCTGTCGTGATTTTTGGCATATCCAAGTGATCGTTTGCTTTCGTGGACAACAAACTGAAAAGAAATGCCTTCCTTGAGTTAGAAACAGCTGGGGTGGAGGAGGCTCACAAGTTTTAAAAAAGTCGGTGCATGCCAGACATCCCCAGAATCTATTGATCTACTCTCTCGTTATTTTAGCAAATGAACGCATGACTTCTCATGAAGTCGCAAACAAGGCCAGTTATCTGATCTAACTTGTGATTAAACTCGAGGCATGAAAGGCTATGGCGGGTTGTTTTAAGTTTCTGCAGAAGAAATATTTCTGTAATACTTGTGGCAAACTATGCATACCGGTTGCTGTTTCAGTCTCTAGGATTCTAATGGCTGAAATTTTCAGATAGACTTCAAAATCATGATTAAATCTGGAAAATTGACAGGGAAGTTAACCCCATCGTCTACCTCTTAAGCTGCATTTTATACATATCGTTGGCCTCTAAAACCTCAGCCAGCTCATTCTGAAGAAATGAGATCTTCAATGATAGATCTAGTTCATCTGCGTACTTTCTCCTTTGATTTTTCTGAAATGAATATGTCGTAAACAAAATTAGCTGGACAACAAATGGGCAGCCTTTCATAGAAGGCGACAACGTTACCTACAAAATGCTAGGCAGTAAATCTAGTGAAATATACCTCTTCGCGGAGTTGATCTACTTCTAGATGCCCTTGATCATCAGGAAAGCTTTGCCCTTGAATAACTTCTGCAGGTGACTGCTTTTGTCGCACTTCACTCATCTGGAAATTCTGTAGCTGTATTAGAAATGTAATCCATACAGTCTTAATTTGAAAGAATGCTATTCTAAAGGAGAATTCATCTTACAGACCAGTGGTGGCTTCACTACGTGGCTAACAGGAAGACCACTTGTATTGCCAGGCTTGCATCTATCGGGTCCTACTTCCTTCATATGTTTCGCCTGCTCCTGCACCGCTCGAGCACTCTTCTGGCACTCTTCTTTCTCTTCTTCCAGGCACTTCATTCTCCTTTGGAGCTGGCTATAAGATCTCTTAATCCGAGCAACCTCATTTTTCAGCTCAGCTTCTTGGGCAAATAAAGCTTCTCTGGCAGTTAAATCTCCCTCAAGGCGTAAGATCCTTTCCTGAAGGGCAACTTTAGCATGTTTGCATTCTTCTAGTTCGGACAAAGCCTTCTGCATAGTTGAGATCTTCTCGACAAATGACTCTCTCTCCGCTTTCATTTCTTCAAAATCTGCCAGTAATACATGGTGTGAGGTTTCCAGCCTTTCCTTTTCAAACGTGGTCTCGCTGATTGTTCTCTTAAGAGCCAAAACTTCATTCTGAAGCAGTTCTATCTTCTGTAGCTGAACCTTAAGGCAGGAGATCTCTTCCACAAGCTGCACTCTCTCATACTCAGAAGCTTTTAGTTTCATCTCGAATCTTCTAGCAGCATTTCTCAGTTTGCTTTCATTAGATTTTACATCTTCAAGCAAAGTTACCAGCTTTTGATGGTCAGCCATCAAAACTTCCTGGTTTTGCTTGGAAGATGCTAGCTCCCCAATAAGGCCTAGTACCTTTGCTTCATCCAACTGGATGTTATTAACTATACTTCCTGGATGTTCAGTTTCCTCTTCAGAATCCTTAACAGTGTCTGTTCTGGCTTCCTGAATAAAAATGTTATCCAGTCTCCTGTTTTCAAGAAGAAGTGCATTGAGTTCAGAATTTAGGGCTTTATCTTTCAAGGCGCTTTCTTCCAGCAAGGAATCAAAATTTTCTTCTAAAACTTCAATTTCATTTGAAAGATGAGAAAAGGCGTTGTTGGATTCGCTAAGTTCTGCTTCCAAGAATGTAATGTGCTCATGCAACTCTATGTTCTGCTTTCTCAACTCTCTGTTTAATTTCTGAAGCGAGCTGCATTCCTCGATAAGATTTTCAGCAGTAGCCTGCACTTTCGTATTTGCAACTTTTAGATACCTACACTCTTCTTGAGCTTCTAGTAACTGCTTATGAATTTCTTGTAACCTTTGTTTTGTAGTAGCCTTCTGTGCTTCCATCTCAGTTTCCAATTTCTTCACGTCACTCTGGAAATTTGATGATTGAGATTCAGAAAACTGTATTGCCAAACGGTTTGACTCCCTTTCATCAGTCAAATATTGTAGTTGAGCTTCCAGGCCACATATCCTTTCAGATAGCCGTATGTTTTCTTCTTCTAGTTCTGATAAATGAATTTCAAGCTCATTTTTTTCACTCTCTAGCTCTGACAATTTTCCAATAACCTTGTCAGCTGAAACCTGTGGACCCATGCTGCTAGCATGAACCATCTTGTCTTCATGCGAAGGACAAAAGCTGCAGTCGCCATCACTACCTCTTTCAATAACTTTCATGTTACTATCCACCTTCGAATTTGCCTGCTCAAAATTATATAACCGAGTCTCCAACTCCTTTTGTAGATGCTGTAGAATCTTGACCTCTTCCGTCTTGACTATGTTGTCCGCCTTCAACTTGTCCATCTCAAAAAAGTTTTCCAGCATTTCCTCACTCAAATCTCTAAGTCTCGATTCCAGTTCAATGTGAAGAGCTCTGAGTTCCTCATCAAGAGTCAAGACAGTGTCTTCTTTCAAGTCATAGAGAGGAAGGTCTTCCCCGGCTCCATCTCCACTCATGGTTCTTGGCCTGGCGTCTTCTTTTTCCGACTCTTCATCCTTGCAGACTCCAATTCTTATTTCGATTAATTTTTTTAAATGCGCAAGCTTGTTCAGCATATCATCATCTTGTTTTTTTGGGTCACTACTATATGTACTCTGTAGCATGTCTAGATAATCTATAGCATAATTACCTACAACATTTTGAGGCATACAAAGAGCATATCGCTTCCGCAGCTGCTGTGCAGTGATTGCTGAAAGCTGAAGCTGTTCTTGATAATGCTCCAACTGCTGATGCAATGCTGCAATCTCAATTTCCTTGTCTTCTGCTCTTGTGCAAGCTTTGCATGGTTCAACATAAAAAAGAGAACCTTTATCTTTGAGAGACTGCAACTGCAACTCCAGGTCAGCACATTTATCCCGGAAATAAATGCACCCCTTATGGTCACAAGATAATTCTTCGAAGAGAATTTCCTTCTCCTTTAGTTCCTCCTGAAGCTTGGATACTATTGAATTCAGTCTGGTTATTTCTAACTGACAACTTTCAATTCCTTTGCTGCCATCTGGGACGATATTTGAAGCAGCAGCCATGTTCTGAGGGTGCAAATCTTTGAGCTTAAATATTAGCTGCAGGTTTTCATCTGTAAGTTCAGTGCAGTCTTTCTCAAGCTCCTGCACCTTCAACTTTAAAGATTGAATTTCCTTTCTCAGATTGGTATCACTTGCATCTTCATAATTGACTTCCTCAAAGACTTGAGAATCGAGTGCTTCAGGTGACATTTCTTTTATGCTCACGATCTCCACCTCATTCAGAGTCGATTTATTTCTCCATTCTGCCTCACATTCAACCATTGTTTTGGTCTTGCAATCTTGGTCAATCTCGCTACCTCCTTTCTTCTCCGACATCGGTTGCAGAAATTTCATGGCACTTTCCGAGTTCTGTTTCTCCATAAACCTTGGTTGCCAGAGGTTAAAACTTTTGGTGTCATCCAGATGAAAATGTGTAAACACATCACTAGTGGGTTGTGCAAACACAGTATCAGGTGTGTGTGCATCATACGATTTTATCTCCTCAGTGGAAACATTTTCACTTAAATTGACTTCTGATTTTGCAGATAAAAGATCTGCAATTTCCATTTTCTGTTTCTCTATGGTATCTTCCATTTCCTGAAGAACGGACACAAGCTCAATATTGGATTCTTGAGTTTTCTTTAGTTGTAAAGCCAAATCGGCATTTGTCTCCTTTTGGAACTTCATTTCTTCTTCCAGCTCTTTCTGGAAATTGTCCGCAGCTTTTTCTTGTAACTTCAAACTGTCCATTGCTGTTTGTTTCATCATCAAATCTTCTAGTAGAATTTTTTGCCGCTCTATTTCCTGCTTTAGGCTGTGGCACTCTCTATGTGATGCAGAAAGTTCCAACTTAAGAGTTTCTTGGTGCTCAGACTGGTTCAATAACTCCCTTCGCACTTTTTCAATGTCAACCATCAGCTTTCGGGCATTTTTCTCCCACATCCTAGCTTCTGCCCTATGTTCCTCTACTGTGACTTCTACAGCTTCAAGCAGCTCTTTGGATGAACCCCCACTGCGCAAGGGTGACATGGAGGGCTGTGAAAATCGACGGAACTCTCCATTTTCCTTTTCCAAAGAACGTCCTGATCTCCGGACATTTGAATTGAATGAGGAGTTGTTTGATTTAGCACGAATATCACAGGAGTTGGAGCCATAAGCGGAGCCAGTATTTGATCCAGTTGAATCCTGTCGTCCAATAAAACTGTCAGTATCCCCAATTAGATGGTTCCTGGGGGACAAATTTTTCCTGCCAAATGATTCCTCCAAAGAGTCGAAGCTTTGACGCGAACCTGATTGTGAGAACGTCGTTCCCTGTGACAATGTTAGAGGAGAGGTGAGCTGGTGTGAGTCAAACTCGAAGGTTTTAGGAAATGCTACAGAAAATATTTAATTCTTGCATCTGGGATGTATCCTATTACCCAGCATGACGATCATCAGTTAACATAAAAAACCAATATCACCTTTCCCAGGCAAAGACTCGAGATATAGCTCCTGCAAATGCTCATAGCAAAATTGCTTGATTCACAAAACAAGTAATCCTGAGGGCACCAAATCTTGTTCTTTAAAGAAAGAAGAAAATAGAATATGCAAAAGCCAAAACACCATGTTCTGGACATGCATGTTTTTAAACAAAGGAAAAACAAGGTGAGATATGAGAAGAACATAGGTGGGTGGGACCGAGGATATGCAGATAGCTGATGCGACTCGGGAAAGGACAAACCTACTCAAAGAGCACATATCCCAAGTGAGGAAAAAAATACCTTTTTTCCAAATTCTTCTGGATGAGATGGACTATCCATATAATTACTAGACGAAGATCCAGCACTGCGGAGGAAAATACTGTCAGATACATCAGATTTGTTTTCCACGTCGTCATAGTCAATGCTTGCCTCATCAAGTAATGAATTTGAATCTTTCCAGTCATCCCTGTAGAAGGAGTTGTTACTATTACAAATTCAGTTATGAAGCTGGAGCTGGAACATTCTAACATCCAAAAGGAGAGTGAAGCTGAACCTCGTCTTTGGAGTTAAACAATGTATTTTCATCTGCAAAAGGAAGAAAATAAAGGCAGATGAGCAGCTGCGTCAATAAGCTCTCAACCACCAAGTCTGATTTCTTGTTGATAACTTGATGACTGAGTAGCTATAAATCTATGAATAAACACCAAATGGATGAACTTGCATATATCTCGAGAATAGGTTAATGGTTTATCGGTTTAAGTTTAGTGACTAAGAAGTTTAAAACATGCATTTTGTTCCCTTGATGAATACTTTATCCATCTTATAATTTTTAAGTTCTTCTCCACATAGGTCTTTGGAAAATTAAAAGAACAACTGAGGAGGAGAAGGTTTCCTTTCTGAAGTAATATCCGTGAAAAGTGAACACTCCAGAATGCCCATTACAGTTGGAAAATAAGGCTGATTGGCGCCTACTGAACCACTCTAAATGAATAAGACTAGGCCGTGTTTGTTTAAACTTTAACAAAAATTAGAAGTGTTTTTTTGCTTTCCCTCCAAAATTTAAAATATCACTCAAAAATAAAAAAAATTGTGAAAAAACTATATGCAGATCTACGCGTCACCATTTCTATTATGTGAAAGTTTTTATGTTTTCCGACTAAATAAATCAAAGTACATGCGCTGCAAAATTTAGATTGAGCAATAAGTAAAAAGTAAAAGTCAATCCAGACACGTCCTTAGCTATTAGGTTGAACAAAGCTCAACTAGAATCAAATGAAGTAAATAGAGTAAAGACAATGCAACTAAACGTTTTTTCATGGTTCCGCAAAAGCCTACATCCAATGGCGGGGAGCAGCAGAAAGTCCTCCATAACATAAAAGTTAGAGTTCAAGAAAACTAGATAAATATTCAAAAAGTCCAGTACCCACGAGATTATCATGCTTCCATTCTGTGGCTTAGCTTAGTACACTCATGCTGACCTAATAATTGAACTTTAGAATGGGATAGTACAGGATCTGAGATTACATATTCGAACAAGTCAGATTCTAGACAATGTGATTCTGGATCCCGCATCAAGTAAGCATGAATAAAGAACAGGGGGACAAAGACTCTTTTGATAAAAGCAAAAGCTTGACCCTTTTGTCTAAAAACTCCAGCACGAATGTTTTCTTGACTACAATGTGACTTGAAAACTCGAAGGAGATTGAACTGGCCTAGTGCCAAATTGATTCAATCCTTGAAACCTTGAAGCAAGAGCAGCCAGACTATGCTGTAGAAGTTTGTGTTCGCTGGCAGAATCCGTTCAGCATTCGTAAGGAAAAGTTATCTGTTTGTGAAACTTACTTGTAAAATCGTTCCTTGATTGCATTTCTTCAGCTGTAACGAAACAGGAACAGAAGCTTTTGAGCTAATATAGTTTGCCAGATTGACTGACGCCTCTCCAAGGATACCGGATCTAGATGATCCCTAAAAGAAGAGTGCCATGAAAACTTCCATACATTAGTCTTCACTAATGAAAACCTTATGTTTAATAGAACTCTCTTAATTGAGAGGAACCTCATACCATCGAGACAACAAACTTAAACAGGCATCCTTCAACATCTTTTGGGCCATCGCACTTTGGTATCCAGATTGATTCTGATATGGTCTCTGACCACTGACAATTTCCATTCCAGACTGGCGCTTTTTCCAACCTTCTTATGGTTTTTCCTGTGTCCGACGAGATAATGGACAAAGAAAGTTTGTCCCGTCCTTTTGGTACCTGAATATGTAAAGATGAGAGTGAAATAGAGAAGAAAGAAACATAAAAACGAACTCAATTTTTTTGTGGAGTCGCCAACCGAAAAAAAGACGAAGGTAAAAAGAAGTCCCTAGCACGTGGACTCAATGGATTCAACCAATTCAGTTAGCTAGACCAAGTACCGATTGCTGAACACTTCGTGCACATTCTTTCCCCCCAAGTTCATTTCAAAGCCAACGCTGGACCTCTACGTTCAGGATTCAGCATGTAAAATCAGTATTAAGCACAAATTATATTCTTGAGCTAATCAATAAGGTGACAACTGTCGTCGATAGACATCCCCGAGGCTTCTAGCTAGGAATGCTGGAGGCAAAAAGGCCGTTCTCATAAGTCCGCGCTTTTACGAGAACATTGTCGCATCATGACCTAATGCTACCTAGAGACCACGTCCATGTCAAGAAAAGGCGTCTTTAAATTGTCTACTGTTCAATGCATATTATATTCAAAGAATGGCACACGTAATAATAAATTTTCTGCAGGAGCGCACGAAATAGATAGCAGCATGTTGCAGCATACTTTTTTTACTGTATACACAAAAAGGACTTTCGCGTAAGATTACAGTGCAGTCGAAGCAAGCATCGGCAAGATAGCCTAGTCGCATTCACGGAATTACGGAAAATGAACAACAATCTGGCAAATACTTAGTGAGCTAATATACGCACAGCCCATCTTCTTGAGCAATGACAAGTGCCGAGCGGCGAAGCAAGCCAATTACGTCAAATTACTCTTCTCAGGCAACATGCAACCCCGATTAAATCGCTAAGAGTTGTTCGATTGCTTCATCGCATAACACAAAAGTGGCGTAACTGCTCCATCCTCCTCCTTCCGCGTAGAACTCAACTGCGTCGGGAGAGACAATTTCCAACCGAACTCTCCGACATGCTTTCGTGGTCGAATATAAAAGGAGCCTTAATCAACCAATTAGGCACAGCAAACGCAAGCATCGAGGAGATAGCACAGCGGCATCCATGAAAACTTTAAAAAGAAGAAAGAAACAATCAAATTCTAATCGAATCAGCCAGCACTTTCGTCTCATTCGCCCGCTATCTTCTCATCAGCCCGTGAGCGAGGGAGGCGACGAACACCGCAAATTTAAACACCGCGCGCGCAAGCGAAAGCTGTTTCCATTTGACAAACGCGGACCCGAGCACTCGCGCGCGTTTACGCTGCCAACGAATCCACACGCGTAGCTCGTGAGCGAAGAGCGCCGGCGAGAGACGGCGACGAGGCGAGATCAGGAAGCAGGAGGGAAGCCGATTTCCATCAATGGAACAGCAGACGCCAGGATGAGAACTCGGAGACGCCGACGAAGCGTATTCAGAGAGAGAGAGAGAGAGAGAGAGAGAGAGAGAGAGAGCAATGAGAGACCTGAAGAGCCTGAAGGTCGGAGAGCTGGAAATCGAATCGCTCTCGCTGGTCATCGGACTTCTGCTTGCGTAGCCTGAACATTGCTCTCAATTCTCAGCAAACTTCATAGAGCTCGGCTCAGCTCAGCTCAGCTCGCCTTCAACCTCGCCGGAAGGTTAGAGAGAGAGAGAGAGAGAGAGAGAGAGAGAGAGAGGAGGAGGAGGAGGAGGAGGTTGCAGTTGCAGTTGCAGAGAAGATGACGAGAAGGCGATGGGAGGGAGAGAGAGAGAGAGAGAGAGAGAGAGAGAGAGAGCACGTTAGCTGTTACTGTCGCCAGAGGAATTTCCTAACGGGGATCGGATTTATTTTTAAGTCTTTTTCTTCGACAGCCCTTTCACTTCGCGGTATTTGCTTTTTCGGTACCCTGGAATTCGCTTATTTACCTTTTCCTGCTTTTGTCCTTTTTGTGAAAAAGTTCTCCTTCCAAGCTAAGGCACAGGAAGGAGTACGAGCAGCCCTTCTCTCCTTTTCTCTTTCTCTTCATTTCTTTTCTAAATTCCATTAAATCAAAGACATTGCTTGAAAAGAAAAAAAAAGGAAAGAAAAGATGAAAACTCTTCCCGCACGTCCCGTGGATCACCGCATGGTTGATAGGTTATTGAGTTAGCTCATATCTAATCTTTCAATTTCATTAAGAAGATGTAAAAGAATTTATCTCTCGAGAGATAAGTCTCAAGAGAGACGTCGGTATACTGAAAAAGGCTGTTAATTTAATCTCTATTGAATTTGGTAATGCCTCAATTTAAAAATGGAGCTCGAGCCCTATCCCATGACCATCCATGAGAAGATATGGAGGCGTGTGAAGTGACTTTCAAAACATAACCTATATAGGGAGAAGAGGAAATTTCAGAGATGGTTGCCGTTATTAACAATATATGGGATGGATAGTTTCGAAATCACATAATAGAAGAGGCGATCTTTGTGTCCGGTGGCTCGAAGATTTGATCGCGAGTTCAGTGAAAAACGAACCAGATGGTGTTCTCTGCATAAAATTCTCGAATTCAAGGGTCCAAACGACAAACGTCAATTTTGCGGGGGGTAGCTAGTAAAAGACCTTGAAACCTTTGGAAAATCGTTGGAAAACAGCCACGAGTGGGGACGAAACATCGTAACGAAACTCCCCAGAAGTTCAATTGGTGCATTGGCGTTTCGTTTGTCGGATGCGGCGAGAAACACAAAGCGTTTCGTATTTAAGGGGGTGCAATAATTGAGACGTGTCAGCTCTGGATTGGCTGGACCGATGATAATTAGGCTCCCCCCGCGAGTGAGGGATTAATTGACGAATCAGTAGAGGTTGCAAATGAGGTGTATGATTGTGGCCCACGTGGGCATGCGGTCTTTGCAGTTAACGACGGTAATTTAGTGAAGTTAGAAGATCGGGTATTTATAAATAACGGTAATTAGCCTTGAATCTTGGGAGCACCGGTGTAAGAGCGTCATGCCAAAAGTAGGGGTGAGCAAAAGAATCGAATCGAACAAGAAACCACTCGGATCGGATTGAACCTGTCGGTTCTAGACGGTTTCCATGGTTACCAATTCTTAAAATTTGGAACCGGTGAATATAGATCCGATTCTTAGTTCCATGTGTGCACCACCCACTCGAAGCACCCGGATCGGATCAACTTTTTTCTTTTTAATCTTGTTATTACAAAACTATAAACCCTTCTCGTTCTTCATCTTTACTTGCCCCACTCCGAAAACCCTAATTACCCCATTCCTAATTTGAAGTGAAGCTTGAGAATTTCGAGCCAAACTCTTATTAATGATTGGTATGATTGTCTAACTTTGTTGCAAACTCACACACACTTGATGAATATTATATCTTTGTTTGTGGAGATGATCATCATATTTAGCTTATCTCGAACTTGTTCTATTGATATCACTTATGTAGTAGTTTACACTATGTAATAACACTTGCGGTCTTATTGAAAATAGAAACAAAAAAGGGAGAGTATACCACCAATTCCTAAACCTATCCAGAAATCAGACCAGACTGGTCATTCTAGTTCTCGGGTGGGTCCACATCAACTGGGTGGTTCACGGTTCCACAAACTCGAAATCGGTTATTCTAGTCCGATTCCCTGCTTCGGGTTGGGAACCGACCCACCGTAGAATCGAGTACCCCTAGTTCAAAGATTTCGTTTTCGTTTTTTTTTTTTGCGTTATTATTGTTTGAATTCCGTAGTCAAGTTTGGCATTTTATGAATTCCTAATCTTTCTCAAGATGCTCCCAAGAAGGAAAATTGTTCAAAAAGTCTCAAACTTATTGTACGGCATAGTGGTGAGCATGGTTCCAGGATAGAACCTGGTACCTGAGAACCTGACCAGTGGAAATCTGTAGTTTCAGGTTTCAAAGTATGTAAGGTAGGTTTCAAGTTCTAAAAATTAGGAAACCTGTTTCGACATATAAGTTCCGGGTTCTAGGTAAGTGGAATCTGAAACTTGAAACCTAAATAAGTTTTTTTTGTTTTTTCTTGGTTTATATCTTCACATGATATTGCGGTGTTTCATGACGTTAGATGATAAGTGTATAACCTGGAACTTTTAGTCTGAGCTTTCATTTTTGACTTGTTAATGTTTCATATTCTTCATGTATCTAAATATAAGTTGTGGTTAATAGCTCATAGCAGCAAATTGTTGTCATTAAAGGTGATGATTCACTGCAATAGTTTAATTAATAATACATGTGGAATCTGGGTAGACCCTAAAACCGACCCTCAAACTTGTGATAGGGTAGGTTCCAAGTTCCAAAAAATGAGGAACCTATTATCATGGGTGGAACCTATATAGAACATGAAACCGCTCACCCCTAGTATTGATTTACGCAATGACTTTTCATTTTAATTATATTTATTTGAACCATAATCTCAAGAAAACTAGTCTTTTGTATTCTCTTTGGTGAATGATAAGTTTGTTCAGTATTGTTGTGTTCATTTTCGTTTTATTTAACTAAAAATGAAATTAAAAAAAAAAGAACCTGTTAGTACCTAAAACCTGTGACGGGGTAGGTTCTAGGTTTTAGATTTTGATGGGTAGATTCCAAGTTCTAAAAAATGAGGAACATGTACCCGAGGGTAGGTTCCAGGTTTCATGTGGAACCTGGAACCGCTCACCCTTAACCGCATACAATTTATTCATAAACCTTTCAATTTGGCCAATTTAGTCCTAAACCTTTCGGCGATTTGCTAATTTAATCTTTCCGGCTAATTTTGATCCAAAATCGATAACATGGATGTCGGTCGTCCAACATGGCACGATTGGCGTAGACTTGAACAATTTTTTGCAATTTTTTAAAATAATTCTATATCTTTTTACATTTCTTCTTCCTTGAAGGGTCGGCAGGGGTTGCCAGCCAAAGGCAAGAGCCGCAACACCTTCCCCAACCGTGGCCGAGGCCTCGATGACCTTCACCTCTATGTGAGGTGAGGGCTGTCATGGCCCTCACCACGCACAAAGGCGAAGGTCGCAATGGCCCTCGCCGCAAACAAAGGTGAAGGCCACAATGGTCTCGCCGTGCACAGAGGCAACCCTCGCCTCACACAAAGGCGAAGGCTGCAACAACCCTTGCCGTGAATAGAGGCAAAGGTCGCAACAACCATCGCCAAGGCCTCGGCAGCCCCGCTGGCCCTTTGGGGAAGAAGAACAGTAAAAAAAAATGAAAGAAAAGAAAACTATTAGAAAATTTATAAAAAATTCAACAAAATTTTAAAAAATTACAAAAACTGTCCATGTTCAAATGCTGGCCGTGCCACGTATGATAGTTGGTGTCTATGTCGTCAATTTCTTATCAAAATTAGTCGGAAGGACTAAATTGGCAAATCATTAAAAAGTTTAGGATTAAATTTGTAAATTGAAAGGTTTATAACTGAATTGACCGCCATATAATAAATTTAAAACTTCTTGGACAATTTTCCTCTCCCCAATAAGTGAAGGGATCGTTCAATTGCAAATATTTACATAAAATAGTTTAAATAATCTATATCATGCCTGAAATCTTTTCATATCAATTAGCTCTTCGTGCTTTCCCCAAAATATCTCGACATCCCCGTACCCGACAACCAAGTAAAGTGTCTTGAAAAATGAAATATTCAAAGATTACTAGAGACTGTGAGAATAGAGTTTTCTAGAACAAGAGTTTGGGAAATTTTCATATCGAGAAAATGTGAGGATAGATTGACGTTTCTTTGTTTTTTTTTTTGTTTATTATATCTTTAACCCAACTCTCTGACTTTTGCTTTACCTCGATACTAGCGTCCCCCACAATCTTTTTACTAGCAGGGCCGCATGCCTATTGTCGACGTTTCTTTGTTTAGTTACATGTTGATTGATCACCTTCATTATTCGTCGCATTAATCAAGTATAAACTCTTAATAAATGAAAGTGGCTTGTACATTTAAACCGGCAAAGATTTGATAACTGACTTACATGTCGAAGGAAACTCACGTCCAGAACTTAATTACTTTTTTGGTCGAGGGTTCGCTAGCGGGCGAAGAGACGGAATAAACAAAACAATTTTACAGGTGATTCATGATTAATACTGAATTTAATCAAATTAAAAGTCAAAGTGGCTACACGACCCTCCTCTTTGCATTGATGAAATGAAATGACTAACATGGCTTGCGAGCGTGGTGGGTGCACGAGACGAACGTAATCAATTGTTTCCGGCGCGATTATAATATGAATTGGACAGATGGATTCACTTTAATATGGATCGAACTCATCCTAGTAAAATTTAAAGTAGCCCACCTGAGTAAGCATGACACTGGAGATAAAAGAGATGATCTCACTATAATTTTCGATACACTCGACACACGAGCGATTAACCCAATTATTTCATATTTCACAGGGGCGCGATACAAAAAACCATAACAAAATTACCCTCTCACGAGCGCGCACACTCTCCATACGTTAAACAAGATCATATATCTCGGACCGGCAGTGAACCTAAGAAAAATCCGAATGGTTAATTAGCGGTCGGGGCCGCATCGTCCTTCATTTCTGCTTGGATGGCTGCAGCCAACTGGTCATAGCCTTCGCCCCATGCACCCTCCATCTCTTCACTCCACTTCTCTCCCACCGTCTCTTCGATCGTCCTCAGCAGCGCATCT